AATGTCTTACACTAGCACCTAGGGATTAAATATCTTATCCTAATATTTACTGTCTACTAGAAGTCTGTAAACTTATTTTTATTTTGTATGTTTATGACTATCCTTGATTCTTGTCTCAAACAAATGAAGCAAATTTAAAGTAATGATTTATTTTGCTATACCTGTAAACAATTATAAATCACAAGTACAAATCACTTATTATTAATAAATTAGGCGCCCTGTGCCTTATTATTTATCCGAGCTCCTGATGATATACAGACAATCTAATATTATCTATTTTGTATATTGCATCAAAACAAATACATACTGCATAGATATATAAAATAATTGTTAAATCATTTTTTATTTTTAAATTTAGTACATATTTTTAATGCTTATACCCAAGTCCATACTTTTACGTTTTTGTGCATATTTTGTAATTTTTTACTCAGCATGTTTGCATCATATTTAGCACCTTTTTAGTTTTTAATGAATATAACTCTGGTGTCTATTTATAATATTAATTAACAAAAAGTTCTCCCATAAAAAAAAACAAAACATGGGCATTTTTATATGAATGATAAAAGCTGTGGCTATTATTATTTTTAAAGATTTTTTTGAAATTCCCAAAAATAATATTTTGAAAAGAGTTATTACATTCTAAATTAATTTACTCAGAAATATATTGATTTTTCAAAAAATTCTAAAAAAAAAACCTCTTGACTTAGATAAATATTTCTACCATAAAAATTGTTCTTATAATCAGATTTGTAATTTGGCTGTTTAAAATTTTTATTTTCAGTATTAAAAAAAAAAAAAAAATGTATATTAAACTGATATGTCAAGTGACTAAATAATAATAAAAAGTTTTAAAATATTGATTAGAAAAAAAGTTATTTCATCTCTCAGGTCTTTCTGTTACACTCTGTTTAGTGGTCATTCAGGTGGGTTTATAACATTGTTAAAATGATTTTAAATTAAACATTCATAAATGTACTTATACAATTTAGTTTAAAAATAATCTGTTGTACAAATGTAATTATTATATTACATTGTTTTTAATAAACAGTATGCCATACATAACCAATATTATTTTGAGTACCTATTGGATTGTTTTCTTTAATTATTTTGTTTCTGAGGACTCCACATTCCCAAAAAGTACATTCCTTCTCTATAACTAAAGGAACTGGAATAGATACACAAACACTTTTTGCACAGGTGTACTAGCAAAATATTTTTTTTAAAAATGTTATATTATGTTATTAGATCTAAAGAAAAATAATTTGAAAAACAAAAATGTTTCTTTAACTGTCAAAGAAATTCTGAAACTTGTCTTTTTAAAGTGCATAAATTGCTTGTTCAATTTAAATCTGTCAAGTAATAAATATATAAAATTTAAATACTTTAACATACATAATTGTGTAGTTAGAAATTAGTAATAAAAGATATTATATAGTATATTTGATAATGAACTAAAGTGAATTATTTTAATATTTGACCCAAATAGTGTAGTTGTTTTAAAAGGTTATATAATAAGTATATTTTTTTAGGGTTAACTTGATAATAAAAAAAAATAATACCTATTTAAAATCTAAATAATAGTCACAGCTAGTACCTAATACCTATATTATATAATAATAACTAATCACTAACATTATTATAATAATATTCTTGATAAAAAAACCCTGTAAATATCAAGTACTTTACATATAATAAAGTTGTATTGAGTTTGTCTAGTTAAAATAGTTAAAATAAATAAAGTTTCTATTACCATTATTAGGCGTCAAGTTGTTCTGTTAGGTACTATTAATTTTGAGGCCGTACATATTCGTAGATTAATTGTAATGCTTGCTAAATTTCAAATAATTACCAATTACCATAATGCTTAAATTAAAGTTAATTAATTTTATTTTATTGGTTTATGTTACTTTTCTGTTTACATTTTCTATTACAAGAGTAGGAATAGTAGATACTATTTATAATTAAAACATAAATATATGTAGAAAATTATAAGTACCTAGGTACTACTTTATAACAGTTTAATTATTTTATATGTAGTAGAAATATTGGTTTTATTTTAATAGAATACCGGTTGTGAGGCCCCTCGCAAGAATGTGCTGATAGCTGAAATTGAAAAGGTTCGTCAATATTTGCGCGAGAAAGTTCTAAGTGTAAGACAAACTTGTTAAAACTATATAAACTATACATATATATGCATAAACTAACATTTTGGAGTAAATATATATAATAATGTTTATATTGTGTATAAGATTTTAATTTAGCTTTTGGGAGAGATTTTGTTTACATTTTTGTTTCTGAATATTTTTGAGTATCACATAAATTATTAATAAAATAACTTTTGATCTATAAAAAGTATGCCTTGTACTTATACAGGGTGGGGCAGTGAAAAGGGCGATTTTCGGATCTAAATATATAGGATGATCCCCTTTCACTGCCCCACCCTGTATTTAGGGTTAAAATGCCGGGTGTACTGAAGTATATGGTGCTATGTAATTAAAAAAATATCTATAATAATAATAAAGGGTGATGTGTAATTAACATAACTTATAGAAGTTTCAAATAAGCACACATTTTTAAATAATTTACTTATTAATATTAATTTAATTACTAGTTATTTAAAATATTTTTGTATGTCTGAACCCTGAATAATAATAATATTAGAAATTTTGTTATGGATTTATTTGTATAGATTCTTTATGGATTTATCTGTTGTATAAAGAATATTCAGATATATATCATTGGATGAAATCTCTCACAATCTTATATGGCTTATTAATTAAATTATTAAATTTATAAAGAAAATTCTTGATTTATATATAAGTTATTATATTTTTTTTTAGATTGATGCAATTGATGAATCTTCTGTCATTTGTTCAAGGGATACTGAAAGTTCCAATACAATCAATGGTAATTAATCAAAATTTTAGTTGTAGGTAAATATATATATATTTTTATTAGAATTAATAATTTTGAATTTAATTACAGCTATTACTGATTTGAAAAATGCTTTTCAAAAATTGGAAATCCGTGTTAGTGTGTTGGAAGGAAAATCTCCAAGTGTAAGTATTTCTTAAATTAAATATAATTAAAAATAATTAAATATAATTTCTATTCATTTGTGGGAACATTTCTAATGAAATTGCTGGATAATTTAGTAGAACATAATTCTTCAAATGCATATAACCAGATTATGATGAGATTAAAATAAAAGCAAGTTAATAAAGCTCACTCTGTGATCATGCTAATTCCCAGTTTTCAAACGAATTTTAATACAAAGCAATACTATAGTTCCAAATACAATTTAAAAATATTTTAGTAACCTTAATATTTAATAATATTTTTTGTATAGTATGAATCTTTCTATATTAAAGTATACTTATCTTAATACATAGAATCGTAACTATGTAAAGTAACTACGAACAATAGTGATTAAATAAATATCTTAATATCAACAATTGTAACTATGTGCTGGTTTTCTGAGAACTAATGAACGGACTAACAGCAGGGATATAAGGCATTAAGGCGTTCTAAATAAATATTTAGAAATCTAAAATTTAGGGTTTTTGTTTATAATATTGTTTTAAATTTGGTCTAATATAATTTTAATAAACCATAATTAAATTATTGTCAAATTATATCAAGTTATTGTGACAGAACTATATTGAGAGTACACTAAATATTTAAAAAATTATACTTTTTAAATGCTCATAGTTTTTTTTTAATTCTATGGTATTATAATCATGATAAATATTATATCACCTAAAATTAGTTTTATATTCATACTAATATATCATTATAAATGATTTATGATTTAGAGTTCATCAAGTAATTCAAGTTCATTAAATCAAGGTATTTAAAATTTAATATAATGTAATTACATTTTAAAAGAATTATATTATTGATATAAATTTATTTTTGTACTAAGATATTGAACAATTACAAAGTCTTATGGTACAGTTAGAAGCTCGTGTTAAATCATTGGAAACCCAAAAAGCAGCACAGTCTCCTTCTAAACCGGAAGAAAAAGAAACACCTAAAAAAAATGACGAGGAAGATGATGATGTAGATTTGTTTGGATCAGAATCTGAAGTAAATATTCAACATTAATTAATTAAAATTATCTTAAAGATTTATTTATTGATGTTTTGTGTTAATTATATTTAGGTTGTTTCTCCTTTAAGTGAATATAAAACTTAGAGTTTTCAATGTGTGGTATAAAATAATACTGTTTGGAATGTATTGTTTAGTTAAATTTCAAACCATACATTTATTTATAATAAAAAATAATAGTTTTAGTTTCATAACTTAATATTTTGAAGAATTTTTTTTTTGTATTGTTAGAAGTTATAATAGTATACATTTTCAAGAATTCTTTCAAATTCAATAATATAACTATTCATAAAGCTTTTGAAATTCACCAACAGTTTGATATGATGCTTGAAAAAAAATTGACCTCTTTCTACAGTGTTCTATCCTACAAATCTATTATTTGGGAACAAATTGTTATTCTAAAAAAGTCCTCATCTATTTAATTGAGTAGTTGCAGATAATTAAGTACCTATTTGGATACAAAAGTTGACTGTCACTTTATTTATCCCTTCTAGAGATAAGAGTGGTGTTTTAAATTCTTTATATTCATAGTTAAGTACGCGTCACAAAAACGTGCGGATGATTCTAGAGCCTCCAGTGGCGTTTTTTCTATAGGGCTATCTAAACTACTATAGCCCTACCGAAAAAACGCCATTGGAGGCGCTAGAATTATCCGCACGTTTTCGTGATGTATACTGTAGGTGCTTAATCCTGGTAATATTGAATTTTAAAATCTAAATTTAAGATTTTACTGTCTATTTTGTGTAATGAATATAGTATAAATATTTTATTAATATTGTTTTTAGGAAGAAACTGAAGAGGCAGCAAAACTTAAAGCCCAGAGGGTAGCTGAATATTCTGCTCGGAAATCTAAGAGTAAGCTTATATATATTTATCAATATCAAAACTATATTTAAAATATATTTTTAAAAAATGTTTAGAGCCAACTCTTATTGCAAAGTCAAACATAATATTGGATGTTAAACCATGGGACGATGAAACTGATATGAAGGAATTGGAAAAGGCAGTGCGTAAAGTTGCTACTGACGGTTTACTGTGGGGAGCATGTAAGCTAATTATATTTATTTATTTATATACATTTTGGTCACTCACAAATTTTAAAAATTCTTTTATCTTCAGAAAGTATTCATACTTATTTTATTTTATTTTATTATAAAATATAATCCATAAATACTTCATAAAAATTTTTATAAATAATACTTTTAAATTTATTTAAAATTTAAAAATGTAAATCAAACAATTATTTTGTCTCACTGTTGACTAATATACACAACATTTTTTTATTCGTATTATCAAAATACTAAATTTTAAACTTAATTAACTACTTTTTTAAACAGTGTACAACAATCAAGATTATTGTATTACCCAGTATAATTAAAGAATAAACTATAATATTAGCCACAATTTATTAAATTTAAATTTAATAATGAACCTCTGGGTAATAAAATAGAAAAATAGGGACTCTTTGACTTAGCTTACCTTGGTGTAGGAAAAGTTGTTGCAATATTAATTTTGAAATAAATTACACACAAAAAATGTTTCAGAATATGATTTGGTAGAAAATATTACGTACTTTTTTTAGGTTTATTTTCAATTAGATACAATTGATTTCCGATTTTCAAAGGTTCAACATAAAAGTGGTTGTTTCTACCAATAAAACTAATAGAAACAAAAAGTTAATAATTTATTCTACCTATGGAAAGAACTTAAACACATATTATATTGGAGGATATGCATTTGTTAGTAAATGTCAACATACTTTCTTATATTATGTAAATTATGATAAATACCTATATAAATTAAATTTTAATTTAAAAAAAAAAGGCATAACATATTGTTGAAGTTTCATAACAATTAAAATTTTCATGTATACCATATGAAACTTCAAAAGTGCGTTTCTCATAATTATATTTATTATTTCAGCTAAGCTGGTTCCGTTAGCTTATGGGATACATAAGCTTCAAATTAGTTGTGTTGTTGAAGACGAAAAAGTATCAATTGATTGGTTACAAGAGACATTACAAGAAATCGAAGACTTTGTACGTATAATATCCTAAAAGTCTTATATAATATAAATTATGATTTAGTAAAGATGGATCATAATCCACAATATATATTCAGTTATTATTAGTGATGTTATGAACTGTTTGATGTTGAACTAAAATTAACTGAAGGTGTTTAATTTGGTCCTAAAATCATTAGAACTAATTAGTTATTACATATTATGATATTTTAGTTCAACATTCAAACTGATGAATTCAAAATTTTAACTTTGTTCAAAAATGATAATAAATTATTTGATTACTTTTATTTCTGTCTTATTAGCAAAGAGGATGCATTTGTTGTCTCTGTCTTACATGTCAAATTTTTGTTTACTGGTTTCAATAGTATGCTGTTAGTTTTGATATAAGAGTGAATTGACTTATTATAAAACTTTTAGGTAAGAACATTATCTATGGTTAAGTTTCGGCTTTTATTTCAATATTTAAATTTAAAACGAGATGAGCATTTTTAATTTGTGATAGTTCACATCCCATATCTTGCTTGATAATTAAAATATTGAAAAAAATCGTCAAAGCTTGAGCACAGAAATTTTCTTACTAAAAAGTTTGATAATAAGTCAAATTTATTGTAATATCAAAACTAACATCACACTATTGAAACTAGTTAACAAAAATTTGGTATGTCATATGTTTGTAAGGCGAGGACAACTAACGCATGGGTCTTCTTAACACGTTGAATGCTTTTTAGTTTTTGACGCACATAGAAGAATCGAAGCGTTGATCCTACACAATTTGTTGCGCAAACAACAAGTTGACCATTGTGTTTATCATGGATGCAATGTTATAGTTGTAGACGAACAGTAACAAAGGCACTCAACGTCTTAATTGAGCATTAGGTAGTTAGTTGAAAAATATAAAATTTATTTTAAAATCAATTAAGTTTGAATTTTTAAAATTTCATTCTGGGCAAATATATAATTTTAATAGTTCAGTTTAGTTAATATAAAATATTTTAAGTTTGATTTAGATAAAATTAAAAATGTTTGGATCAAGTTTGGTTTTACCTCAACAATTAGGGTTCATAACATCACTAGTTTAGTTATAGTATTACACTATCATTATGTATTATTTCTACTACAATTTTTATTTTATTTTTAGATACAAAGTGTTGATATTGCAGCTTTCAACAAAATTTAAGATCTAAAATTATTTTGATAAACTCAAAACACCTTAACAAAGTAATAAAAATTGTGAAACATAAATAACTGTTATCTGTATTTTTTTTTCAAATCATCAATTAAAATATAAAATCTAATCCTGATTTATATATTAAGATGTTTTGGTAATTTATTGTTACATATTAAACTACTTATCCACAAAATGATCCAAATTTAAATTAATACTATAGTACCTATTATCTCCCTTGCCCATTAATTTTTATATTATCCACTGGGCGCTGACTATAAAAAAAAAAGCCACCTGATAGGGAGGGGGAGTGTGTTTGTGCCTCCCCCCAGTCCCTGCCTTGGATGATATAAGTTATACAAATAGTAATACTCAATTATTTATTCAATCATAGATTCAGAGTCTATGGAAAGAATAAAAAATAATTTGTTGGCTCCCCAAAAAATATTTCTTCGGATGGCCTTGCAGATGTATATACTTATTAGTTATTATAAATACATTTATTCATTAATTAATTAATTAATAATATCTGAACATTTAAAATATAATATTAGAATGTCTAATGGCGTTGTTGGGTTAGTTATTACTTACTTTACTCATTAAATACAATTGTAATAAAATAACTTTTCAATAAGAAACAACTTCATTACATTTATAAAACAATTTCTCTAATTATTCTCTAATTTCTTATTAATTGTTTATCACCGCCAACTTTAATTAAAAATTTAAATAGTGTATAGAAATAATTTAGACAGTTGAAAAAAAATTACAAAATATATTTTAAGTAATAAAGTACAGTGCAAGTAAATATTATTATATAATATACCAACATAGTAGGTATTATACTTTCTGAATAATTAAGTATTTTTTTTTTTTTTTTTTCGTTACTCGTAATGCATTACACATTTTGGGAATTTCTACTTATCAATAATAATTTTTGTTACTTGAAAAAACGTTACTACCCAACACTGTTACATTGAAAATTTTGTTCAGTACCTACGTTATATAATACTATAATAAACTAGCTGGACACTGCAATGCGTTGCTATTGCTAGGTTATTGTTATGTGAGCAGTGTGCATTATCAGTTGGGCAATTTACCTGTGGGTTGCTGCGGTAGATCGCGGACCACGAGTGGTCCATACGTAAGTGTATAGTTTAACCACAGAATATTATATGAAATTTCAAATATTCTGTGGTTTAACTCTAGTATCAAAACATTTTTAAAAAAATGGTCCACCAAGACTGTGGTTTGAACTCAATACATTATGTATTAAAGTACACAGGCTTAACGCATTAATAATAAAAATAATAATTATTATTATTAAAACCAATAACCATTTACAAACAAAGTTTCCATCGTAAATCTCAAAATCTTTGTTTGAGCACCTCTACGGGCTGGACCTAAACACGTAAAAATCACGAAAATGTTCAAATTATTTTGAGTTAAAAATTCATAAAAAATTTTCTTTTTAAATCTAAGATATAAAAATGTAAATAAGCATTTAAATATCGAATTTTGACAATATTTATGAAATTTAAAATTTTTTTTTTTGTCATATTTTTTTTTAATTTGCACAATCGGTAAAAAAATATATTTACAATAAGAACATTGGAGGGATACATAATAGGTCATGGTTGGCTTGATTGAAGGAGCTATTCAATAATAACACTTCATGGAAGTTTAAAATTTAAGATTTAAGAATTATTTTGTAGTTAAAAATGTATAAAATATTCAGCTCTTTTAGCTAAGGATTGAAAATTTAAAACAAGATTTCACAATTTCATCAAAATATCAAATTTACATATAAAAGGTACTAGGTAGGTAGTAATATCAATTATCATAGGCTGACTGACCGTCTTCACTCAGAATCCTTTTTCTTATACAATGATATTATTTAATTGAATTCAAATTTAACACAATCCAATACAGTGACCCACCTGTAACCTACTTTACAGCAGAGCGACACCCACTAGCCCACCTTTTTCAAAAAATGTTGATATATAAAAATTAAGATTTGAACAAGTAGTTTTTGAGTTACCTTCCTATTTAAATTTATGTAGGTCCTAAGCCCTAAGGATAATAGATCCATGATAATAGATTTGTAAGCTGGTATGGAACCTTAATATTGCTTTATGATTTAAAAATTACTATTTATTAGGTAATATTTAATATAATCTACCAGCACCTTATAATTTGTAAAAATTGTCAGTGCAATAAATCCATTAATATAGATCCAATCATTACTTCTATTTTGTACTTTTTTATAACCATTTTAAATTGTTATTTTCCTTATTCTTTGATATATGGGTACATTTCAATAACTCAGTTATTACTCTTTCAAATATTTTATAAGATAGGTACATTAACATTTTTAAAACAAAAAAACATCTGCTTAATGGTTAACAGTAAAAACAAAGTTTTTTTTGCCGCATGGCACTCATAAAACGGTATAAAAGATCTAAGTAATTGAAAATATGGTCCTTGAGTATACTTAAAGATTCCAAAAATCAGAAATTGAATAAATTCATTATTAAAGTAAAAAATTGGGATGAACATCCTTGGTTAATCACTCAGTTTTATACACTCCTAGTTTCCTTATAGAATGTTTTAAAACCAGAATATTTATTATGAGTTGGTCACCTTCTAAATTGTTGTTATTTTATTATGTACCTACCTATATTATAAACATTGGATTTAGATATTATGTTTATGTTACATAACAGACTGATCACAGATCAGTGATCACTGTATCACCTATCAAACAATTAACAGCAATTATAAAATTGTACAATCACAGTTTGTATGGTAAGTAATAATATTTTATTTATAATAAATACATAATTAAATCTAGGTATTTATTATTTATACATATATATATAGGTAGTTTATTAATTGTTTGTACCTACTATACTATACTACTATGTAAGTATTATTTAAGAAATATAATTTATTTGTTAGGTACTACCCATAAAAATATACTAATATTGCTATTTGATAGTGATAGCAAACAGTCTATTAAAATTAATATACATTTTATAAAACGCTGTTAAAGGTACTATTATGTACAGAAATATGGTTACTTTATTTTATTCTTCTTTATAGGTATTATATAAATAAACTATAATCTATACTTCAAGTTGGTGAGAAGTTTTCAATATGAACTTTATGAATGGTATAGTTTTGATCACTGGTATCTTAATATCAGTGAATAGTGGTTTGTCATCTAATATATTAGCCTTTTTACCAACCAAAGCACGCAGCCACTATGGAGCTTTTGAACCGTTACTCAAAGAGTTAGCGGAAAAAGGCCATAATGTGACAGTTTTTTCACCATTCTCAATGAAAAATCCACCATCATCTTACCATCATATTCAGGTTGAGGATGAAGATCTCGCAATGAGTAAGTTATAAACAAAGGTAGATGTATAATTATAAATATTTATAATATCTAACCATAGTATAAAGAATCCTTTATACTGTGAATTAACCTATAGTTATGCTGATAATAATAAATTTAATTTGTTTAATAGGTTTTAATCCATTCAGTGTTGCTAAACATTTCAAACCAATTTTAGTTCCATTTAGGTCTTGGTTTATGTGGCCAAAATTTACAGAAACAATATTAAACAAACCATCTGTTCAGAAATTGATTCATTCGGAAGGACTTCATTTTGATTTAGTTCTATTCGAAAACTTCTACCATGAGTGTTTTGTAACCCTTGGACATAAATTCAATGCATCTGTTGTACAGTTATTTCCATCAATTCCGAATGCTGGTGTTGCACAGTGGCATCGTAATCCGTATGATGGATCATATATTCCAGATATCAACACTGGATTCTGTGACAATATGTCTTTCATAGAACGTTTGACAAATACAGTATTGTCATTTATACATACAGCTTTGAGTTCATTTTTCTACTTTCCAAAACAGAGGGATTTAATGGATAAATATTTCAACTATACTGGTTGGGAAACACGGCCGTCGATGGAAAGCATGCTAAAAAATATTTCCCTGACATTGATTAACACACACTTTTCTGTTGGAACGCCGAGACCACTTGTTCCTTCATACATAGATGTGGCTGGAATGCACCTCAAACCTGCATCTACACTCCCAGAAGTAAATTTATTTATTTATTCACATTAGTATATATTATTAACTAATAACTATGTCTATGTCACATTTGTATCATTGGTTATCATTATTCATTAGGATCTCCTGAACATTATGAATGATGCTCCTGAAGGAGTTGTGCTTTTCAGTTTTGGTTCTATACTCAAACTAACACAATTACCCAAAAATGAATTTGACATTTTTATTAGACAACTGGGTAAAATCAAGCAAAAAGTATTATTTAAATGGGAATCAGATACTAAAATAGACTTTCCGCCAAATATAATCGTCAGGAAATGGTTTCCACAAGCTGATATTCTAGGCCACCCTAATTGTGTACTATTTGTTACTCACGGAGGCATACATAGTACAGAAGAAGCTATATACTTTGGAGTGCCAATGTTGGCAATATCAGTGTTTGGGGATCAGTTACATAATTCATTAGTAATGCAGAACAGAGGCGCAGCAATACGTATAAAATACAGTGAATTTACTGAAAATGAATTTGAAATAGCTTTATATAAGATGTTGAATGACAAATCGTAAGTTTTTATAATCATGTATTATTATTGTATTACCTTAAAAAATTAATCAATAATTTTAGGTTTAAAAAAAAAGCAGCAGAACTATCACTGACTTTCCATGATCAACCAATAAAATCATTAAATAAAGCAATTTACTGGATTGAATATGTAATAAACCACAATGGGGCTCATCACTTAAAAACTGCTGCTGGCGAATTGACTTGGTACGAATTTCTACTAATTGATGGTTTGTTTTTGGTGGTCATCATGAGAATAATTATAACTATAATATTGTGGTATGTTGGAAAAAAATTGTGGAGAAGATTTTGTTTAAAATCTAAACAAACCTAAGGAAAGGTATATTGTTCATATTAATTAGGAAACTTAACTAAACAAGAATTCATGACTAATATATTTTAATGATTCTAGTTCTTCTTTAATCAAAATATACTTAGTTAAAATGGATATATTTTATTTTAGTTATATTCCATTATTATCAAATAAGTTTTAATTGAAAAAAATTATAAACCTCTATTTTATAATCTGTGATGTCACAAGGTGCCAAAATTATTTTATATAAATTTATATTTTTTTAAATCTAGTCCTGAAAATAAACTTTATTGATTGATGGAACATTTTTCTTTTTGGTATTTTGACCTAATGAATTTATGGGTTTTATTTTAAAACCTAATATAATTACTGTTATTTATAAATTGCCATCTTGAAGCCAGCTGATGTGTTTTGAAATGCCAGCCCATAGCCAGTGTAACTTATGCTTTATATCTTATCTAAGTACTACTCTGATAGTCTGATGCATCTATAGAATGTCATTTGACTATTATTGAAATATACTAAACAAAATGAGTGACAGGCGACAGCCTAGAATTTAGGTAATAAGACGATATATTATACTAATTAAAAAAGCTCACATAAAATAAATATCAATTAATCAAATATGTAGTATATGCATGAAAAATGTATTAATGTTTAAATTATGATTAATTCAAAGATAATTGTTGATTTCCATGTCACGACAACTGTCAATTAAAACAAAGTTTTTAACCAAACAATCAGAAAATGTAACGGTGTGAAATAAAATGAACTGCAGATAGTTATGGCTATAATATTAGCATTAATATTATATTATTAGCATTTTCTATAAATCGTATAATTTTCAAAATATTTACAATTTTTTTTAACTATTATAGCTGATATTCAAAATTATTTGATTTTTTTTCACTAACATTATAATATTTCACATAGTCAATATAGAGGTATACTTGACACCTACTTTACAACAGAGCGGTTACCTATTATCTCACTTTTCACGATTTTTCTTTAGGTAAATTTACACTAAATAGTTGCCTTTTTCATAATATAATATATTTATACATTTATTTTAGTTTATAAATTAAATAATGTAAACAATTTTTAATCATCAAATAGTTTTCTTTATTACAATTATTTTATATAATAAATTAATAACAATTCTTAAACATGCATAAGATCACATTAAACTGATTGGAATTTGTAACAAAATCAATGTTAGTTTTCCATACAAATTTCATTGTCAATGACAGAATATATTTTATACATTTATTTTGGTTTTTAAATAAAATAATGTAAACAATTTTTAATTATCAAATAGGTTTCTTTATTATTATTATTTTATATAATAAATGAATAACAATTCTTAAACATGCATAACGTCACATCAATTTGGCTGGAATTTGTCAATGTTAGTTTTCCATACAAATTGCATTATCAATAATAGGATCTTTGTCCATTTCTACCTGTTTAAACAATAAATAAGTAACATAATTTAATTAGTTCTCAGTATTCTCTCATTTGCTTTTTTAAATGTTTGATATGGGCAATTCAATAAAATTATAAATACTAATTCAAAGTAACTGGTCATATATTAGCAAAAACAGGACCATTGAGTTGTTATGTGAATATGAAATTATATAAAAAACTGTTTTGGCACAGGAAATACTAAGAAGATTATAGTAATAAATAAGATACTAATTTTTCACCAAAAAAACAAAAAAAATTTCAACATGTAACCCGCAACATAAAGAATGGATTTCTGAACAATAATTGTTTTTGTCATCATGATATTGAAAAAACAAAAACGGCATTGAGCGGTTGATGCTCTTGATGAAAATTTAGTTATTTAACTAGGACTATTAAAGCTTAATTGGTTTGTGCTAGAGTGAAACAGTTAATAATAATTATTTATTACTACAATTTATTATAAGTTTATTTTAGAGCGAATTTACTTTTTATTGAGTTTGTAGAGGATGATACTGTGCTAGAGCAGAGATTTCAGTGTTTTTTTTTATATTTTAATTTTAAAACAAGTTAATTATGTACTTTTCAAATGAAAAAAACGAAATAAAACTCTTTACTAGAGCAGTTTTTATTCTTCTCTCCAAATTCAATAATAAGTATATTTGCTTCAATATTAACTATAGATTAACTTAAGTAAGAATCTGATAGGTACATTTGTCAAATTAAGAGTGTAAATCAGAGACAACACAATGTATACATCTTCTTAAAAATGTATGGACTTTTTAAATGGGGTATTAATTAATTATATTTTATTAGTTAACAAAAACATTATTTACTCAATTTTGGTTTACAAGCAATAAAAATCATTTACAACAATACCAAAAAAATGTATATACTACTAACCTCAACTAAATTTTCTACTTCCATTTTATCACAATTAGAAGTAATATTCTTTTTCTTCTTAAACTTTTTATTTTTCTTTTTCAAACTTTGACTGTACTCGAATATGTTAACATAATCGGGCGGTCTATTTAATTGTACTAAATGATCATTCACAGGTTTTTGTAATACATCAGGTATCATGAACGGTTTCAGCCAAAGTACTAATGGCGATTCACCCGGGGTGTACAAACTTTCTGGATAGTAAAAGTTAATACCGTCTAAATCAATATTATCGTGGAAAAATTGACTTTTTTCAAAAATGTGCTGATACAAGTCTCTAGTAACCATTCGTGGGGCCAGCTAAACAAACAATTCATTATCATGTAATTGATGGTCTACTATATTATTATTTTTTATTTAAGTATTAAGTATTTTTACTTCAAATGGATAAAAATTTGTTGCCGATTTTTCATTGATACCTGGTATTTCACTAAGTTTACTCTGTATAAAGTAAAATCTGAATTCAGCCTAAATAAAAACACATGCATTTAACGATATTATTCGGTATTAAATAGTAAATACTATTAAAAATTGAACATACATCAAAATCTGTATATGGCACACCCATCCACTCAATGATGTCCAAAATGTAATATTTTTTAAACTTGAAACTATACACACAGTCTAAAACAGTACGTTTACGATGAGATGGACAATTATATGATGCACGGCATCCATAAGGAAATAATGATGAATAATAATTGAGTGTAGTTCCAAATTTGTTAACTGTTTTTGTTTTGTTCTGAAATTAAAATAATCAATATTTAAAATTTTTTTTTTTTTTTTTTTTGAAAATAAATGTTAGGTAAGATTGTTAAGTTTATTCATACATCTTGAGCAATAACACAACATCTTTTTCCTTCCGGACATAACACTGCGATCCAACTATCAATGTCTTCAGGTACTTCAAGCATCCATTCTGAATACATCATAGATGTTGCAAGTTCATATGCTTCATTACTTGGCACCACAGTTTCATTTTTTCTTTCATCAATTTCCTGTGAAGATTAATATTTAATGTTATCAAACGAAGTCAACATGTAATTACAAATGTTGATACTAGGAAGACTGGAAAACTTATTTAAGTTTTAACTTAGTTTTACATGACATTTAATTTTTTGATTATGTTCTAAATTTGTTAGTACCTATTTATTTTAAATGAAACAACATACCATAAAAGTATTATCAGCATCGTTTTTAATATTTCTTCTTTCGCTAATTTGTTGATCACGTTTTCTAAAACAAATAAAAAATATAACATTACAAATTAGTTACCGAACTAAATAAAATTATAGCTATTAGTAATAGGTAAATTAATTTAGAATTTCATATTAAAATATTAAATATGGTATCTATAATACATATATTTGTGTCTTTACAAAAGATACAGACAAATATAAGGTACAATATTTGGTGGGGAGGGGGGATAACAACTAAAATACCTAAATAGTATATGAGAAAATTACCTCACATCATCCAAAAATTACACTGTAACAATTCCATAATATACTATATTACAAAAATCTTTAATTTTTGTTTTGTTTTATAAGTATTTTGTGCTTTAAATACCTTAAACTTGTCAATTTAATACAAGTAGGTATTCTATCCTTCAAATATTGTTTTTATTGAAATTAAAAAAAAGTGAAGCGTTAAAAGCCGCATTACATTTTAATAAATGAATTTTGACAAAATTTAATATTTAAATGAAAAAAGAAATGTAGGTATACTAAACAATATTAGTCACTTAATTGTAATTCAAACAATATAAAGTATAAAATAAACTTGAAATTTTTCACCATTACTTATAGTATAATTGTATACACTATACACATGACATTTTTAAAATATTTAGAATTTACAGCGACCTAGGTAATCAATAACGAGGTATAATTGAAAACTATGCAGCAAAGCGACTTCTTCAGTTTTAAATTTAAATCTTCTATTTGAGTTAAATTTAGTGAAACATGAAAAACAATACTTGTTTCGATAATAAATTACATAAAAACTATTAAAAACTTATTTATATACATCTATAAAACAAAATATTACAATTTATAGAGGAGTATAATTTAGTTCTTTTAATAGCAATAACAAATTTGATGTTCAAACGAAAATCAAAATGTGTTTTGTGTTCATTCTGAATACTAATTAATAAGTGAATTAACAAACTTACATTAATACAATTGAATCGAGTTTATTAATGATTTCCATAAAACATTTTAACATTGATGTTCCCATTTTAATTGATTTTCAGACTTCAGTGGTAGATAAAATAAATATATAGACTATATAGTATATTATGATAGAACACTCTTTAAACTTAAATTGTATATAACTGTTTACTAAGTCACTAGTAATTACAGAACAGGCTCTAGGCAGTACAGTACCTACAGACGTCAGACACTACTACATTATAATATTTAGTATACCTACTACAAATTACAATATAATATATACTATATAGAGTTATAGTCACTATAGTAGTATAGTCTACAACCAGTTAACTAATAAACAGAAATTTTTGTACTGACATATTATTGGACAAAAATCATATTATCTTTTAGGTTGGAAAATTCTCAATTCCCAAATCTAAATATAAACCAGTATCAAACATAGACACATAACACTGAAAAGATAATATCTTTTATTGTGACCTATTAAGATAACAAAATCTTCATTGCAGCAGCACAGAACAATATATTGCAAGGTTGCCATTAAGTCAAAAATTCCATAGAAGTCAATACTGAGATAATGATATTATTTTAATTTGGATATTAAATGTCAATAATAAAATGAATATTTAAATGTACTACAATAACGTGGCGAGGACTAGCAAATACTATAAATGACTTATAAATGAATTATAGTATTTGCCATTTGGTACTATTATAATTGTAGTTAGGAAAACGGATACTTAACTATTTCTTAACTATAACGGATAATTAACTATTAACATATTGATATGTTATGTATGAACAAATAAATATGTATACATATTACATAAATCAATTAAATTTTAAAACCAGCATGAAACAGATTATTGATTAATGGTGAATAAAATAACAATATTTGAATTAGAATAACTATAATATAGTCTCGTCTATCACTATTATTATTGTAATTATTATTACCACAAGTCGTGGTGTATTTCTAATATTTTCTATATTTAACTCAAATGTATGCAATACATGTACAACCATATCCAACTTATTTATGAACCTGTTTGGCTGAATGTAATATTATACTAATATTTTATTCATTGTTTTTATTTTACAGTTTATATTATATTATAATAAATTTAACTAATAGAATAAAAATAAAAATAAAAATATATTTTTATGAATATTAATTTATATTTAACTTCTGAACCCATCTCATCTCGTATTTGGAAAGTTTTATTATAATAAATGTATTCAAGGTTAAGGGCTGGTTGCATAAAGACCAGTCTGTAAATGTTTTAACGGATCTGTAACTTAATCACTTATTACTTAATACTTATTATTAAAAAAAAATTACCAATAGTTAGTACCTACAGATATTTTAATTCAAAATGTCTCATTATATGGTTAGTTTTTAGGAAACCTGGAGTGAAAAACTTAGGAAGTGCTCAAGAGATATTATCTCCAAAATTATTCAAATCAATAATTATTTATTAGTATTCATATTTCATACTATAGAAATTGTATGTGAGCAGTGTGCTGCATTTGAGGTAAATGATTGTGCAAGCCTCACATTAGATTACTTTATTATCTAACGCAACTGCCAACTATCACTTATATTATGATATCTGTAACTAGAGTAGAAATTAAATTTGTAACTTACTGTTTTTGTATTTCTAAAGTTTCTTGTCTTCTCTTAACTTGTTGAAATTTCAATTTAATGTAAACAGGGCATGCTTTTGCACCAATAGTTTCATATGTAGAAAATCTATGTTCCATTTTAAGTTAATCTAAACAGTTTGGAGTAAATCGATTAATTTTTAAATTCTAGTTACTAATATTATGTTAGTTGAATAATAAATGTATTTATGGTTGCTGATGATCAGATGATATTTACAAATTACAAATAATAAGAGTTCACAAACGTACCTTAAGAATTGATAATTAACAGTAATAATAACAATTTGAGTTAAGTCAAAACTCAATTCAAATAGTCAATTTCAATAATATTTAAAATTATTGGTCACTTTTTACTATTATTAAATAAAATAGATCCATTAACTAGATACTAGTTAAAACCACTAACAGTTGAAATCCAGTGTGAAATATAACTTTATAGTAATAATTAATAAATTATCTGACATATTATTTTGTGTTCAAACCAAACCGCGGCTATTATCTCTATGTTTAATGTTTACTTTTCTCTCGAAAACTATTATCAATTTTGCGTCAAATGTTTGTTCAACTATTGTTGGTCACACTCACGGACTAAAATATATCTTAGTACGTGGTCACACTCCAACCACAGAATAGATGAAATTCATGAAATTTCATCTATTCTGTGCTATTATGACCCTCTTTAGATTTTAATACCTAATATTTTATAGCTTATATATACGATTAGGTGCGCATTTATACATGTGCATATTATGTGAAATTTCATAAATATTATTTTTATTTTTGTGTAAATAATTAAATTATACAATCCATTATCACTATAACCAGTGGCGCAAATAGAAAAAATTTTAAGTGGGGCCGGGAGGGCTCAAGCCCCAAACATTTTTTTTTTAAAATTATATTATATATTATATTATTATTTTTTGAGGGGTCTAAGCCCCCAACTCTACTACCTATTTGCGCCACTGAATCTATAACTAGTTATTTTATACCTATAATATATCTGTGTTACCTACCTACACGGCTACACATGTATAGAGTATAGACGGTATTATATAAGTAGTGTGTTCACTGTTCACGCTAAAGAGGTACCTCTAAATATTTCAACTGGGTGACCTCAGATTAAAATGGAGCTTTCGGTAGGTTAAAATAAGTTGACAAATTGAAATACCTACACACTTTGAGAACATTTCCAAATTGTAACCTTTTTGAAACACGCATGCTCAATTTAAATGGCAATAGGTTTTTCTTACAGATATTTTTCTTAAATAATTTTTGTATAAAACGTTTTATTGAGTAAGTTTAAATTTACAATGTAAAATATTGATGAATATATAATTATTGTCTAATGTCTATTGAATATATAATTTGTACGCCGGTGGCCAGTCTATATGAGTCTATAATATATGTTACTACATCAGCAAGACATTATATACGACTGTACTACTGTAGCACTGCAGGCCTGTTTATTAGTACCTACATAGGTAATAGTTATACACCTATAGATTTGATAATAGAAAATAATATAGTCATATAATACAATTTTTTACAGACTTTTGATTTTACTTAAAGTCTAATTTAGATGTAACAAAAATAATTCTATAATAGGTAATATCTAGATTCTGGACACTAAAGGTGATTGGGTGGGGGGGAATGAGAATAGGATTAGAAGCTATTAGAGGAAGATTGTTTGGCACTGTTTTAAAGCCAATACCACAAAGTAGAAGTTCAAACTTCACCAACGTGCCCGATATGGTTATAAAGCATCGTTATTGCGAGATACGCTCAATAGTTATGTGTGGGTACGTTTTTCTGACCTCTACATATTGAAAATGTTCAATATTACAATTCTTTTATGCAATTAATTAGCATCCACCAAGCTGAATTTCTAAACAATTGTATAGGTATACTGTTAAAAACAAAATCATAGAAATTGTCTGAAAATTATGACTTGGCCTCCCCTAACGATGTCTCTGGGACCCCCTCCACCCTGGATGCAACCAGCATATTTGAATAGGTACTTACAAATTTTTCAGTATTTGCACGAATAATGAATATTTTCGTAATTTGCACGCTTATAGATTTTGTGTTTTTGTGTTTTATAAAACCAACAATTTCCCGTCAGGTAAATTTGCACATCGTTCCCCCTTCTAGTAAATTCATTTTCTGTAATCGCACATTTCCCCAACAGACCCCACAAAGGGTCAAGTAGTTCTATTTTAAACGGATATATACGGTGGTGAAATGACGTGCGAATTTCGGGTTTGGTTGTGTAAACGCATGCTAATTATTAAATTATATGTTCTAAATTTTGGCATAGGAAAAAATTCTAATGTAAATATAACGACATGTTGTGGGTTGTGGGGGGAGGGGAGGAGCTGGAAAAATATTTCTCCAGTCCCCATGGGAAATTTTAGGTCTTACAAATATAATCTAAAAGCGTGAAAATTAAGAAAATAATCCAGAAAATGTATATGCTAATTGCATATTATAATTAAATTAATTACATACAAAATTGTAATATTTTGAATGTAGGGGGGTCAGAGAAACGAACTAGCTAGAGTTGATGCTAGAGCAGAGCATAATACAGACTACAATATTATAATATACTATAGTAATGTAGGTTCGAATGTGTACTAAGACGAGTCTATAGACGGCACTTCCGCTTCCGTCATTGTTCTTCTTTGTTATTATCCGCTATCGGCGGCGGCGACAATTGTGTCGGGATCTCGGGACCACGCTCATCACACACACCTGGTCCACGCCACCAGCGCTCCAAGTCCTGGTAGTGCTTGGCCGGCGCTTCGTCGTCGTGCAACAACGCGCACAGCCGACAGAAGAACTTTGTGTCGATAAACTCGCCAGTGCCCTTCCATCGGAAGTACTCGTTGTACAGGTCGTCGTCAGCGTCCAACTTCCTCAGGTATTCGGCTAGCCGTTTGGGCGAGTCGAAGTCATCCACGTGCAAGTACGACCGTCTAGGTGCCATCCGTTCGTAGTCCTCCCGGCGAGCTCCCATCACGACTGGTAGAACGTTATTCCTATAATGTGATGCGAAACGTTTACTTTATGATAATATACCAATACTCAGTACCTATAATCAGTAGCACAAATTAAAATATACTGCAGAATACCCAACTTTTACAAAATAATTTAACGTCAAATCTGTAAATACCTCGAATTAAATGAATTACGTATTTAATTAATGCTTAAAAGCTTTAAAATAATCATTTAAAAAAATCATTACATTATATTTTAGATTCTGAGTGAAACGATGAATGTATTGATTTTACAATAATGTGTGTTTTTTATTATTTTTTAAATTTTTATTTATTTATTTATTTTAATTTTTTTTTTGTGTCTGTCATCACGTTTTAGGACAGTAAAATTCCTTGGATTTTCTTCAACAGTAGCTTTTCTGATAGGAAAGTGAATCTAGTTGGTATTTTGGGGGGTCAAAAGTAAAAATGTCCTAGTAGTTTCCTAGTAGTCCAAGCGCCGGGAAAAACTTCATAAAAATTAAGGAAAATCAGAAATTTTTACGCAAAATCGGTTTTCCAAAAAATCGATTTTGGTTTTTGGTGTAACTCTTAAACAAATGAACGTATATACATGAAATTTTCACTGGTTGTTTATATTTGCATTTTCTATACACGATAACATTTTCAAAATATTTTGAACTGTTGAGGGACATTTTCATTTTCCATTTTTTTTTCTAAAAATATTAATAAAATTTTATTGGTTGGTTACGAAAGCTTGTAAATTTAATAGAAGGCTCCTCGTATATTGTTTCAAAGGCAGATGAAAAATAATAAAAATCCTTAGTCACAATTTTTTTTTATAAGCATTTAAAGTTCAAAAATTGACAAAATATGGAAAAATTACGAAGATTAGCAAATTATTTTGAGTTAAACATTTTTAAACATTTTTCTTTTTAAATCTAAGATTTTAAAATGTAATACAAGATTCCTTAAAAGATTGTCTACCTTTATCAAAAAAAAAAAAATGTCTAAGAAAGTCAAATTGAATTTTTATGAGCGTTTGAAATTCAAATTTTTACAACATTGGATATTCACTCGATTTCTCATGTAGCGATTTCCTTATTTTGTTGTAATTCAAAAACGAATAACTGTAGGTACATGAAAATTTCACTGAATGTATAAATTAGCATTTCCTATACACCATACAATTTTGAAAATATTTTGACTCTTTTTGAGCTATTTACGGACATTTACAGCTTTCAATTTTTTTTTTTTTTTTTTCTATAAATATCAATTAAGTTTTGTCTGTTGGGTCAAAAAGTGTAAAAATGTAATACAAGGCTCCTGATATGTTGTTACAATAGCAATTGAAAAATATTAAAAATATATAGGCACAATTTTTTTTTATAAGCATTTAAAGATCGAATTTTGACAAAATTTATCAAAATTATCAATCATTGTAATTAATAAATTATAAAATGTTCAGTTTTTATAGCTAAGGATTACAAATTTAAAACAAAGGTTCTCATAAATAGTTCATACAGTAACCAAAAAATCTAAAAATATATGAACACAGTTATTTTTTACAGACATTTTAAATTCAAATTTGGACGAAATTACATAATAAAAAACCTAGAATAACTATTTTAGTTATTTTGTTGTGATTGAATAATATTATTCGTGGGTACTTGAAACTTCCAAAGTATACTACTATATATCTATGATAGTATCAGGGTTTGTTGTTGGTGTATAACTCGTTATAAGTACCTAATGGATATTGTGATATGATTAATTTGGAATTCATTATAGGTCATTTTTTTTTAATACCTTAGATAAGTATATAATATGTCTTATACCTAAAAGGACATACCGTCTCTGCTCAGAATCGTTTTTCTTATACAATGATATAATTGATACGACATTTAATTTTTTTTAATACGTATTAGATATATTTATTCATATTTACTGAAGTCCGTTGACAAAAAACTTTTTAGTCACGTAATCGATACAATTTGAATTCTCGAAAGCCAAATAAAATTTGTAGTCTTGGTCCAGCATTTGTAGAAATTTATCAGGTTCAATTTTTTTTAATTCATCACAGTCACCATACACATCTACAGGTATATTATATTTGTTCAACTCTCTAGCATATAATAGTTCCCTGTCATTATCGGTGTTGCAATCTGAAACAATCATCGCCACTTGTTTCGTTTTATTTAGTGCGTAATTTCGATTAAATTGTTCAACCTGAGTCACTGACTGATCGTAATAAGCCCATCGTTGGTAAGGCGTTACGATATCACTGTCATGACGATATGTAGCAGTCCAGTTGATTAAATCATGGTTAACGTTAAGATCTGTATAATAGGCTGACTCGACAGTAAACAAAATCCATATCTGTGGAGCACACAACAATTTTATGAAGGTATCTACTATCTTCCAACTAATAAAAAATGCCAAATGTAGGTACAGTAATTTTTACTGTTGACCTCCCCCAAGTACCTATATATAATCATTATATACTATTACTACAAAATGCGAAGATAGACCAAAAAAAAAAAAAAACACACTCATCATTGCAAAAGCAATACATTCAGATGCTCAGAATCTAAAATTTCGTTTTTTAAATATGTATAGGTACTAACTTTATTGAAATTCAAAATTCTTAATTAATTGTTATCTAATCACAACCAGTATATACGCCTTCAGTAATATCAAATATACTATATTTGTATAATATCAGTCCCTGCAGGAATTGTTCAATATTCCTAACTCCTAATTGCAGTACTATTTAAATGTTTGATCTTACTTGTTTATCGGTCTTTGTGTGACCTGGATTTGAGAATTCATTTCGGAATAAAATTGAATCCATGTTTGAGATTTTTGATTTATCTGTAGTAATTGTGCACCTATTTACTGGGCAATCTTTTGAAACGAATTCGTTTTGCCCGCTATCAACCATCCATTCATTAATATTGTTGTATAATAAAATTGACTTGATTTGTGCATTGGTATGATCGTAATGTGGTGGCACAAACATTAATTGTTCTTCCACTCGATCACTGTCTATTTGTTCCTTAGGCCACACTTGTGAAAGTTTTAACCAAGACCTTGATGGGAACAATCGAGCTTTGGTTGGTCTTATTGTGCCATCTGAAAAAAAAATTAGGTATAGGTACATGATAAATCGTAATATTTTGGAATTTCCAATAATTAATTGTACAATATACTATAGAGGGCGAAAATAGAGTAATTTTTAATAATTAATAATATACATCATGGAAAATGCAATTATAATAAATTATGAAACCTTTTATGAAATATAATATACAAGATTATAGTCATATAGATTATCCATTTAGGTAGGTAAATATAAAAATTATACAACATGTGCAGCAAGGCGTTGGTACGTAATAATAAAAAGGAGATTATTTTGAATTGATGAATTTTATTATTATTAGTTATTACCTTTGAAATACCACGGTAGAGGTGGGTTCGCAATTTCATTCCATTCCATTTCTTTGTTATAAGGCGTTACAGTTATAATTGGCTCCGAAAAATATGGATGGCTCTGTATAATAATTTTGAATAGTGTAATTTCACATTTACAAATTAAAATTCGTTGAATACCAATGATTCAAAAATATAATATAAAAACTAAAAATATATATATATTGGATTGTTTAGATTGTTGTACCTATACAAACATTAAATTAATTAGATTTTTTTTTTTATTGAACCAAATTTTATTTACAATCTGTAATTACAATATATATTAAAATAAGTAAATGGGATGGGGGTGATTAGCGGGAGGGGGGAAGTCACCCATTGGTGATACCCCATTAAATTAGATTTGTTATAAAGAAAAATGGAAAATATAATATTCATAATATATAATGTTTAATTATAATTTATGAGTAATCAAGCAGTAGCTCTATAATTTTTTAACATTTTTAAATTTTCATTATAATATTTTTCAAAAACAATAATTTTTATTTCTCGTCACTATTGAATTGCATTCCCTTAACTTTTTTTAAAAAGGTTTCTCAAATTGCCTCCCGATTTTTCAAAATATTTTATTGATAGAATTCAAAAACATTTACTAAATTCATTAATTAAATAGAATTTAAAAAAAAATAAAACATTAATAATTTGTAACTACCTGTTGATTGAAACTACCCAAAATATTCACTTTCGGTTCATTGTACTTGTCTGGTCGCTCTAACTTCTCCAAATTATATTTTATTTTAATTAACCAATACGCCGAATAGACACTATACAAAACTGAAACACATAATATAAGAATCAGCAGACAACGTAACTGTCGATTTGTCATGATATTTTTTCTCGTCTTTTTTTATAATGAATCTATTGAATATGTTTGATAGCCACTGACATATCAATAAGATAAATAAGAGTTACATTCGTTGTTGTTAATATAATTGTTAAATTTTCTTTACAGCTAATAATTATTATAAGTTATTTTATATATTTTTTAGAATAAAATCCTAATAATTTAGTTTTTGAAAATTCATTGATAGAAAAATATGTTTTACGCTCTTCAATAGAAACTAAATAACTGTATACTTACCTACATGGTTTTAAATGGGGCCGAAATATTTTTTTTAGGAAACAATAATATGGATGTTTAAACAACTGTTTTTGAAAATAGTCAAGTCAGTACAGGCAACTTGAATACACGTGTATGGTACTATAGTGTATAACAGGGGTAGCCAAACGGTCGATCGCGATCGACTGGTTGATCTTGGACGATTTCTAAGTGACTAAGTCGATCCCATTTGTTAGAATTTATTAATTATTCTTAAAAATTTGTCATTTAGTAGATACAGTTATTAAATACATATATTTTGGATTGGCCTGTTAGTGTCAAATGGCATTTACTCACATGAAAGTTATAAAGGCTGAGTAGGCTGAGTATTATACACTGTATAATATAATAGGTACACTGTTACTGTATAGTGTATAATGCAGATATAAATATATCATAATATATTCATATGCATATAATTTATTGTAAAAACGTATATCTAAACGCGTAATACTAATCAATTTAATGAATAATAAGCATAGTTTTTCTTTACATTTATATAAGAAAACACAAAATTGTTAATTTCCCATCAAAATGTGAAGTACCTATAATAATAAAGTCTAAACATTGCTTTTATGGTTATTTATATTTTAAATTATATCACCTGCAGTATTACACGCATAATATACTATATAATATATATGTATTAACTTCCACTGAATATAAGTTATAACTATGATTTATAAATGGACTGCATTACTGCAAACATTTTACCACCAACTAGCAACCACTGAAATAAAGTGCCTGCTGTTAATATTTAATATATTTGATTAGTAACGTTACTAACGCGTATTGTATACAACTTATTATTGCCTATATAATTATTCTAAACACCTGATAAAAAAAAAATCCATTACTAAAAGAAAACATAGGGGTGTGAAATGTGAATGCTTATAACTTAACGAATAATTTACTGGATAAATATTATATTATGTAATACAACTATTGATATAAATTTATATTTATTGCAAGATATTTGAAATATATACTAACTTAGTAGAAGTATATAGGCCATAGGGGAAAAATGTCCACACAGACTAATAAAGAAAAAATATAATGTTTACATTCCCCCGTCAAAAAAAAATATTTGTCTTATAGTTGAGTTTAATATATACAACTGCGAATGACTGCATCTTCTACAAATCTCGGTCTGGGTGATAATAGTTGTGGTGCAGGTGAGTAGGAGTGACCTCGAAAACCCTTCTGGCTGCTAATCTTTGGTCACCCGAAGACTCATTATTCTACTGGCGGCGGTTTAAGCCACTTCGTCGAATGATCGCACACGCCCGGAGGCCGCCACCAGTGCTCCAAGTCCCGGTAGTGCTTGGCCGGAGCTTCGTCGTCGTGCAACAACGCGCACAGCCGACAGAAGAACTTTGTGTCGATAAACTCGCCAGTGCCCTTCCATCGGAAGTAATCGTTGTACAGGTCGTCGTCAGCGTCCAACTTCCTCAGGTATTCGGCTAGCCGTTTGGGCGAGTCGAAGTCGTCCACGTGCAAGTACGACCGTCTAGGCGCCATCCGTTCGTAGTCCTCCCGGCGCCCGCCCATCACGACCGGTAGAACGTTGTACCTGCCAAACGATAATTTATTATTGATGATAATTATTTCATGTCAATATATCAAATAATAACGAAAACTATGAAAGTTGTTGTATCTTTCATAGTTTCAAAGCTGCTTAGCTGCAGCTGTAAGTATTATAATTGAGAATCGCATAATAAGTTGTAGGTACAATATATTATATTAGACAAACAATTTATTAATAGGTGGTGAGATTCATAATCACAGGTATACTTTTATTTTGAAATCAGTTTTAAGTGTTAAATGCAATGACATTGGTCATTAATAAATTGTTTTAAACGTTTTTTGAAATTGTAAATGCGTTAAGAAAAATACATTTTTTAATTGCATTCATATTTTAAGTTGGTTTAGTGCTCATCTGGTCCTCAAAAATTAGTTTCTCAAAATTGTAAAAGTTGTATAAAAATGTGCTTTGATCACCTTATTGATAATTAGTAATAAACACATTAAAGTAATATTACAGTTATTTTTAATATGAAAAAAAAAAATGTTGTATCTAATAATAGTCAATATGAAATATTAATATTAGGTATTAAGAATGTTATAAGCTTACTGAAGTCCATCTATAAAAAACTTTTCTGTCACATAATCGATACAATTTGAACTCTCGAAAGCCAAATAGAATTTATAATCCTGGTCTAATATTTGTAAAAAATTATCAAATTTGTTCATTTTATATCGTTCACATTGACCATATACATCAACAGATATATATTTGCCCAATTCTTTTGCGTATAATAATCTTTGGTTGTCAGTATCACAATTAGTAACTATCATCGCCACTTGTTTCGTTTTGTTTAGAGAATAATTCTTATTTAACTGTTCAACTCGAGTCACTGAAGGATCGAAATATGCCCATCGTCCGTATGGTATGACAATATCACTGTCGTGTCGATATGTAGCTGTCCAGTTAATCATATTATTTCCTACTTCAAATCCAGAGTAATATGCTGACTGAAGGAAGAATAAAATCCATATCTGTTAGAAAATTTATATTTATTTTAATTGTGTTGTTTTTTAATAAATCTTTTTCTACACAAACTTTAAAATTTGAATTAAACTGTTATTAAGGTAATTAAACATATTAATGCATTTAATCATACTTGTTTACTACTCCTTTGACGACCGGTTTCGGATAATGGATCATAGAATTCCTCTCGAAATAAAATTGCATCCATCGAATAAATTAATTTTGTCTTAGTTGAAATTGTGCATCTATTCACTGGACAATCGTTTGAAAAAAATTCACTTTGTCCTTCATCTACCATCCAGTTACTTATGCCGTTGTATAGTAAAATCGTTTTCAATGGTGCATTTTCATATTGATAATTGGGTGGTATAAACATTAGTTGTTCTTCTACACGGTCACCACCTTTTTTTTCTTCTGCAGGCCATAATCGTGAAATTCTAACTCCAGTCGTAGGGTCCACTTCCGCTTTATTAGGCTCTTGTATCCCATCTAACAAAATCAATTTCTTTATTTATGTAAATCAAATTTAGTCTCAAGATAATAATACGAAATATTTTACCTTGATATTTTATTTTATTTAAATAATTAATAATTAGATCAATCATAAAAAGGTGAGCAAGTGGGTGTCGTTATGCTGTACAAGTGGGTCACTGTAATAGTGTAATGGATGGTGTTAAATTTTAATTCAATAATAATATAATATCATTGTATATGAAAAACGATTCTGAGCTAAGCATAGGCGCACATTGGGTGTGAATTTAGGGGGTGCTGGAATAATTTATGATTGAATAATATTATTCGTGGGTACTTGAAACTTCTAAAGTGTACTATTATATATATATGATAGTATCACGGTTTTTGTTGATGTATAACGCGTTATAAGTATCTAATGGATATTGTGATATGATTAATTTGGAATTTATTATAGGTAACTATTATAGGTCAATTTTTTGTTTAATACCATAGATATGTATATATAATATGTCTTATACATAGACTGACATACCATCACCGCTCAGAATCGTTTTTCTTATACAATGATATTATATCATTGAATTCAAATTTAATACCATCCATTATACAGTGACCCACTTGTAACCTACTGTACAGCAGAGCGACACCCACTTTCCCACCTTTTTTAATTTTAAGTTTGATACATTTGTCAAACTTCGAACTTTATATAATTATAAAAATGTTTCTTTATATTTTTAATAATTTTCAACTGCTATAGTAACAATATATCAGGAGCCTTGTATTAAATTTTCATGCTTTTTGACCCAAAAAATAATTTGATTGACTTTTATAGAAAAAAAAAATTTAAATGTGAAATAGTCCATAAACAGCTGAAAATGAGTCAAATAGATGAAAATTTTAACAAGTATAGGAATTGATTTCTTACTCAAAATAATTTGCATATTTTCTAGATTTGTAAGTATTTTGTCAAAATATGAACTTTAAATGTTTATAAAAAAAAAATTGTGACTAGATATTTTTGAAATTTTTGAACTCTCATTATAATAATATATTAAGAGCCTTGTATTCAATTTTAAAGTTTTTTGACCTAATAAATAAAATTGTATTGGTATTTATAGAGAAAAAAACTAAAAACATTGTAACACTTTTTGTGTATAGGTACCTATTAATAATAATTGTTATAATTTATTAAATATTATAAACCTTTGAAATACCACGGTAAATTCTCAAACTTGTTTCGTTTTATTATATGGTCGGAGTTTTTGCTTAGAATTTTTGAAGCAGTTTCCACAATCTGTAATTTCAAAAACATAGGTTGGTCAATAGAAAATATAGGTACATATTTTTATTATTCCTATCAAACAAAGTACAGGTACTTAGGTATATATGTCGATATTGTATCATTCGTATCACGTGGTAGTTTCACATATTATGTATATCACTGGTTATATCTTTTTAAATGATATGGTGTGTTGAAGACGGTGTATTTAAATATGAATTTAGTACAATATTGCCTCATATATTATATAATAACATGCCATGTTTATATTATTATAGCTAGTAATTTATTGTTATTTTTTAAATATCTACCTACTCCAAGCGATTATTCCATGTTGGATTAATGATTATATCAATGCAAAATATGTGGTACCTTATACTTATTAATTATTGTACTTTATAGTTATAAATATACTTAATAAACATATAATACGAATAACATATTTTGCATTGGTATAATCATTAATCCAACATGGAATAATCGCTTGGGGTGGTATTGTAACACTACATTAATAGCAAGCTTAGCAGTCGCACAAAAAAATTTAGTAAAAATAATCCTATAGACAAACCTAAAACTTTTTTTGTCAAAATTCGATCTTTAAATGTTTATAAAAAAAAATTGTGACTAAGGATTTTTAATATTTTTTATCTGCTTTTGAAACAATATACTAGGAGCCTTCTATTAAATTTTCAAGCTTTTTAAACCAACAAATAACATTTTATTTTAATTTTTACAAAAAAAAACTAAAACAATGGAAACTGAAAATGTCAGTAAAGAGCTCAAAATAAGTCAAAATATTTGGAAAATGTTATGGTGTATAGAAAATGCTAATGAATATTTATCATTCAGTCAAAATCTCATGTACCTACGGTAATTTGTTTAAGAGTTGCACCAAAAACCAAAATCGATTTTCTTGAAAACAGATTTTACTTAAAAATTCTCGATTTTTTTGGTTTTTCACCTCACTTTTAAAAACTATTAGGACATTTTTACTTGTAACCCCCCAAAGTACCAACTAGATTCACTTTCCTATCAGAAAAGATACTGTTGAAGAAAATCCGAGCACTTTACAGTCGTAAAACGTGATGATAGACACAAAAAAAAAAAAAAAACATACATCATTGTAAAATCAATACATTCATCGTTCCACTCAGAATCTAAAATTGGATTTATAATAATGTATGTTGTATATATATAAAAAAAAAATGCTTCGTTATATAATTTGAACCAACTATAATTTTATCCTTACAAGTTATAGCTGTTATATTATTTTGACACTTATTTTAAAACATGTATCCCTTTTTTTATTTAATTTTCTTATTCAATTAATTTTTTTATTATTAGTAGTCTACTGTATATGTTGACTAATAATTGTTATTATTGATGTTATTTAATTGTTTTTTTTAAATTTTTTTTTATTGTATTTTCTCATCACTTTGTTATTGCAAATCATTATCAAAATTGTTTTTATTATTTTTTCTCTCACCAAGTTTAGTCAAGTACTCTTGCTCTTCGATAAGTGATTTCTCTTCAGTGAAGTCTTTTTTTTTTTGTATATTTTTCACACTTACAATATTTTAACTGATAATAAAGAAATTATTATTATTATTATTATTATTATATAATTACCTGTTCATCATTATTTGTTTGGGTTTTAATTTTCTTTTCATGTTTGTATGATTTATTCGAATGAAATCTATTCTTAACCGGACAATACGCTGTAAAGATACTGTAAATAACAATGATAATTAACATAAAGATTATCAACTCATTTAATAAGTGATGTATTCTTCGATCCATATTTTATTTTTCAACCAACTCTTTTTTTTTAAGGTTTTAATTATCTATAATTATTACACAAAATATCGGTATGAACTCCATAATTATATTAGTCTTAACGAACAAAAACATAATATAATCTTTTTATTTCTACAATCAAAATAATATATTCGGAATTAATAACTTTTATATTTAGGATATAAAAAAAAAACAATTTTTACATCTTTAAAAATCTATAGAAAGTGGTTATTTTTTAATGTTGAGTAAACATTACCTACATAATGTTTTAAAACTACTAATTAGGTAGCTACATTATTTAAAATCAACATTTATAATTTACGTTACAATTGTGAACCTACATAGGTATATGTTTAGACAACTGTTTTAAAGTTAAAAGTGGGATATTTGAACATAAAATATGTACCTAATTTGTATATAGGTGCCTACCGTGTAAAAAGTAATTTATAGTTTTTAATAGCATGTATCAAAATATATGTTACACTTATAATAATTTCACATTAGTTTTCAGCCTAAATTTTATACTTCATTAGTTGTGTAAAAATTAAGCTAAAATGTTATGATTATTTCAGTTTTGAAAATTTTTTTTCAGGCACCTACTTGCCTATTTTTGGTGGGTTTTTCACTAAACCTGCAGAAGTGCAGACTACAGTCATCAGTATTTTCTGAATTCTGAATAGCTGCAGTATATCATCCACCCTTAATTGGGCGTGCATTTACATTTGCCTACTGACAAATTTATATTAGGAACAATAGGAACATTATTCTCGAACATCTCCGAGTGGCTCTTAGGGTGTTCCGTCCAATTTCGGGCATATACACTGTACATATATAAATATACTGACATATTGTACACAATACCGTACACAAGGGGGACGTGGGGGTCATATGACCCCATTGCCTTTTTATTACCTTAGTAAAATGTTTTGAGAGGGTGGGGAATTTTCCAATTTTCCCCTCCTATTTAGCTTTGTCTTTTTATTTGATCCCCCAAACTTTCAGATATCATGTCTACGCCACTGATTGTACATAATAAAATGGTACCATGATTGTATATGTATATTATCTTATCTTATCATTTGGTATTAAGGTATTAATGTATGTATTTATTCGAAACACTTTTTCAATATTTATATTAATATAATTAAATTACTAATATATTGTATTTTTATTATTTTTTTAATAAAATAAAATATAGATTAGTAGGTAATTATGACTAATTTTCCTTCCATTTGATTAATTTAATTTTGATTAGTCTTCACGACTGTGTACATTACTTTCATCATTCCCTTGGACGTTGTGAAATTACCGTGGTGACACAAAAAAAAGACTGTGAACATACAAATCTATACTACTGGTATACATTCTGTGACGACACACCGTTTGCACAACACCAGTGTTCAAGCTTTTACCATTGCTTATGTTTTGTCATGATTTTAGTTAAACCTAACATTTGGCAATCCATATCAGACTATACCCAATTTAAGGGTAATTTGAAAACTGGTAAATAAGACAAGCAACTATAAGCATTGCGAAATTAGTTTAAAAAAAAGTTAAAACTGCTATCTTACCAAAAGTAACTAATGGTTTGCTGCAACGCAGCTGTTAACGCTGTATTTTCGGTGATTTTTGAAAAACTTAAAGTCAGTCACTATAATAGTATAATATGACAGTGCAAAGCCCTATTTAGTATTGTCTTTACAATAGGTAGGAAATTAAGTGTGTTAAATACGAGTAACTGGATCTGCCAGTTTTTCAAACTAATGAATTTAAAACGGAAAATGCTATTTTACGAGGAGAGTTCGTTGCTATTCTTTTGTATTTGAGTAAAAATATTATAGTAGGTACTTGTATAAAGTTGGCGTTTGGCGTTTATTGATAGTAAATAAATATAGCTATAAACTCTACAAAATAATTTTATTATCTTGATAAATATAGCCACACAATACAAAATACACACAATATGTAATAATTTATATATACAACTATACAATTATTTTCAATGCAATTATTATACAAGATTTATTTATTTATTTGTAACAATTATTAAACATAAAAACAATAAAAAAATTTTCAATCGATGCTTAGCAGCACCGTATTGAAAGTTCCATCTAATATTTAACTTTATAGGTAACACTAAACTTAAGATAATTTACTATAATAATAGTATGTAATTTTAAATAATATCGAATAGGCGCAAGTATATTTATGAGAAAAGGGCGCATGAGTAATTCTTTAGTAGTCATTACATACAAATCGTGGTATTTTTATATATATTATTATGTAATAGCATACGTTATACATATTATATATAATATAAGCACTTCAGAAATATTTTTCATAAATTTGCTTATTTGCGCCTAATATCGTAATTAAAAAATATCACTTTGTTATCACAGGAGGTATAAAATAATAATATATTGTGCATTATAATATTAATAACAATAACAACCTAGGCGTCATAATGTAATATTTGAAAAAAATACTACTTAACAAACAATAATACTATGCTTACCAATATATTGATACAATTTTCTAAAGATTATCGAGAATAATTAATGTAGATATAATATATAACAGTGTTATGAAAAACGGTTTTTACATCGGTGAATGAATAAGTTTAAAATTATGTCTATTATTATGTCTATAATTCAGTCGATATTAACATTTAATTTGTAAAAAGATACTTATTATAAATATAATAATTGTAGAATTTCGATAATATCATACCAGTGGAAGACGTTTTTAATTTTTATGACACTCGTATTATATCGTAAATATAAATATATAATAGAACATATTATGCACTGAAATCCACTGTAAACACATATAAATAGTATAATAGGTACTTATTAGTTATTGTTAACAAATTGTTCTCAATTCTATTGTACAGGTATTTTGTACTTCTATAGAACGAATTTGTACTTTTTCGTTTTTTGACTATATTATAATATATTATATATAATACCTATATAATACTTATAGGTTGTACTTAACTACTATAGTCAATATTATGGAATAATATCATATTTATTATTTAAAATGTGAATGTACAATTTGTGTACCGATGGACGTGCAGTAAATAGGAAAAAAAGTCTGTGTGTATTCTCGCAACGACCGGGTCTTATATCTCAGAGAATCATCAATAATATTATATGTAGGTACAACAAAACAAATTGACACCGTTCTCGATGCTCATGACATGTGACTGGATGTCTGGATGAGTGGTGGGTGTCGGGTGGATGGTCGATTGAACGAAGCGCCGTCGACAGCCGCCAATCGGATCGAATTGGATCGACCCACACAACCGTTTGTAGTTGGCATTTACCATTTAGGTATATACCTAGTTAAAAGTATACGAAAGTGTTCGACTGTATATTATTTTCGAGTGGGGTTGGCAGTGGACAATATCGGTTTTGGCGAATATATTATATAATATGAAAATATGATGTATCATACTATCATGTTATATAGATACGGCGGCGTGCACTTGCTGCAGGTTGGTTACACGCAATTGTCGTTTTGGTTCGATGGGAACCATTTACGCATGATGACGATCTGTTGCAGAAGCAGACCCGTGAAAGTTCTTCCGGCGGCCCCTGCGTCGTCTCCGTGCAGCGCTCGACATGCGCACGTGTGGCGGCGGCGCCGGTTCCGGCGGTTGTTTCCGGACGTACTGGTGTGCAGGCGACGGCGGCGGGACGGTGGGCATCGGCGGAGGCGGAGGACCCACCGCGGTGACCGGGGGCGTCTTCCGAGCGGCGCCACCAGGACGCCAAAAGTCGACTTCCGACGACGGCGACGGTGATGACGACGACTCCACGACGATGCGGCGGCGACGGCGGCGCTGACGTCTCCAGCGCCCCGTGATGTAGTCGAGCGCAGCGGCCGCCGCCCGCGGTAAACGCTAAGCGCCACTGACCGCCGGTTTCGGGCCAGCCGATTCGCCGGCCTCGACAGACGACTCGATGAACCGCCGCCACGGCATAGCGTTGTTGCAGACGCCCTGGCCGCGCCACCAGTCGTTGACGTTCCGGTAATGCTTTGCTGGTGCGCCGTCGTCGTGCAGCATCGCGCACAACCGGCAGAAGAACTTCGTATCGATAAACTCGCCGGTGCCTTTCCACCGGAAGTACTCGTTGTACAGGTCGTCGTCGGCGTCCAACTTCCTCAGGTACTCGGCCAGCCGTTTGGGTGACTCGTAGTCGTCCACGTGCACGTACGATCGCTTGGGCGCTATCCGGTCGTAGTCATCTCGGCGCCCACCCATCACTACTGGCAGAACGTTGTGCCTGCAAAAAATAGTTAATATTATTTTTTTTAATTCAATTCAAACCGTTTCGCACGATATTGTACTATACTATACGTCTATACCCCTCTATAGATATACCTATAATATGACTATATCTATAAATTATGAGTGATAATCGTATTATGATGATCATGCATTATTATACAGTCACAGCTATATAGTATATAGCGGCGTAAACGCATCATAAATTTTGTCTTGTCGATTGGTATGAAGGATAGATTGGTGAAAATATACTTAGCTTATGTAGAGAAATAGGTCTATTAAGGGGCCTGGTCGCGACTTGTTTTTTTGCTCAAAAACATGCCTTACAGGAAAAACTCTCATGCCTTGTAGATTGGTCCGATTTCCGTAATTTTTTTTTTTGTTAAATAGAGGAAGACGTATTGCAGGGCGCATTGGACTTGGATTTTCAAAATTATTCAAATAAAAAATAAAAAATTAAAACGATTAAAAAATGTTGATTTTAACGACCTAAGGTTAGCAAAATTATTTTCTAAAACTTTGAAGGTACTAAAATAATTATGTAATAAAACTCAATAATCATTTCTCTTTTGCAAATTTCATCTTATTACATACTTCTTCATAAGTGATATAGGCATATTGCGTTTTATTACCATCGTGTCGACCCGGTTTAACCCGACTAGAGTGATGGTGAAATCATTGATTAGATCTATTGTCTATAAAATATCTTGTATACATATAATATTATTAATGTTATTTTCAGATGAATACATAGTAAGTTATATTTTATAAATTTCGTAGGTATATTATCGCAATGTATATTTTTTTTTTTTTTTTTTTTTCATTGATCATTAAGCCCGGCAACTATGGCCATTAGCTGTTTTGTTAGTTTGTAGGGGAGGGAACTGTTGGTTTGTAAACACATGTGTTTGTGGTGGCAGAATTTTTATTGGGGCACCCGTAGGTTTCTGCCATGCCCCGGAGTGGGGGGATGGCGGCACTTGTTTTCCGGACACCGTGACTTGCCCGGAGAAAAATGCCGCCCGGTGGTCGAGAATCGAACCCGCGACTGCCAGCGCCGCAGCCGACGCGTTAGACCGCTCGGCCACCTCGTCACCCCCAATGTATAATTATGTTATTCATGTGAAGTACTTATATAATATATCATTATAATGATCTAGCTACTTTTATTTATGAATGTATATGAATGAACAAAAATATTATAATATTTTTAAGAGTTTTCTAAAAAACATTATTTCATAAGATGTCATAAAAATAAGTCAATGGTTGGCATCCTAACCTCCCCCCTCCACACACCTATTATATACGCCACTGGCTAGTTGTTGTGATATCGTTCAAAGGCACCACATAAAGCAGTATTAGTAAAGGAACGCTTTTCCTGCAGCCTCAAACACTAGAACAGCACGGCGTCATGACACCACGTCTAGACGACGTTTCCCCGGAAACAGCTATACAAAATATGGTTAATTGTTCCAAACACCTCTTATATACTTTTATTTTTATCAATTATACTGTTAACATTTAGACTCTGTATACGGTTGATTTATTGATTTGAACGATTTAAAAACTAATAATATTTGAAGCATTAAAAGTTAATTATTCACTTATTGACGACTTACTGGAGGCCGTTAACGAAAAACTTTTCGGTTACGTAGTCGAGACAATTGGAGTTTTCAAAAGCCAAATAAAATTTGTAATCTTGGTCCAACAATTTGAAACACGTCTTGTCCGATCTAGGGCACTTGAATTTTCCGCACACGCCGTACACGTCTACTGATATATATTTGGCCAATTCTTTGGCGTATTGTAATCTACCGTTTTTGGCACCACAGTTTGATACAAACCACGCCACTTGTTTCGTTTTGTTAAACGCGTAATTCCGTTCTAATCGTTCCACTTGTGTCACTGACGGATCGTAGTACGCCCATCGTTCGTATGGTGTAACGATATCGCTATCGTGTCTGTATGTTGCTGTCCAGTTGAACACATCGTTGTAAGTGATCAGTTCCGTATGGTACGGTGACTCAAGAAAATATAAAATCCATACCTGCAATGTTAAACGCATTATATAAGTACCTTTGCAAATAATATAAATATATAATATTGTATTATATATTTATATTATAATTATAGCATATGATTATATAAATACTAGAACTTTATAATTTTTTACTAGGATTTATAATCAATGGTTATAGTTAATAAAAAATGTAATGTAATTAAAAAGAAGAAGAAGAAGGTAATAGCAGGTATATAGGTGCTACCACTGATTGGAAATTAGAATTCGTATAATATGTCAATTACGTGTTACCTATAGAAGAGTAAAACATACGAGTATTTAGTAATATACATACGTATATTATTATATATTAACCGATAGGCAATAATTGTTGCAGTTAAGTGTTAACAGGTCTTATAATTTATATACCCATTACAATTAATTATAATCGTAACTGGTTGTACAGTGTATAGGTAATTAATTGACGATCTTACTTGTTTACCAGTTTTCCTGTGACCGGGATGTGAGAAATGATCACGAAATAAAATTGCGTCAACGTCTGGAGCTTCCGATTTTTTCGATGTAATTGTGCATCTATTCACCGGACATTGTTTCGAGATAAATTCATTCTGTCCGCCGTCTATCATCCAACTACTTAAACCATTGAAAAGTAAAATTTTTTTTTTCGGTTCATCGTCGTATAGATAATTAGGCGGTATGAACATCAGTTGGTTTTCAACGCGGTCACCGTTGTTTTGTTCTTTAGGCCACACTGGTGTAGTTCTTTGTCCAGTCTTCATATTCTTTTTAGCTCTGCTTGGCCTTAGCAAGCCATCTGATAAAATAATTACATATATCACATTAAGTTAATTGGTAAAAAAATTACAATTATTTGCTTCATAAAATGTACATTAATCATTTAAAATTAGATAATATTCAGCGCTATATATAAGTTATGTGATGATGTTATGTATCTTTTATACTTTTTACATTAACTAGGAAATTAAATGTTTACCTTTAAAATACCATGGTAATAGCGATTTTGAAACTTCGTTCGGTTCCATCATTAAAGGACTGTATGTTTGTAAAGATTGAATCGGTGACTCCAAGTATTGTAAGTTCTGTAATTTCGAGTTGTTATAGATTTTACAGTACATTAATAATAAATAATAATACACTTAGAATTTACATTTGACATAGTTAATTTACACAAGGAAAAAAATCTTTGATGGTAAGCCATCATTTGATGTAATTTTTATAATGAGAGGTAAAAATATTTTTATTTTGTATTTATACATTATAGTAGGTATATAAACATAATAAGTTATTTTATATAATAATTTAATATGTTTGCATATATTATATAGGTAGGAATATCTACATACAAATATAATATGCATGGGTAAGTACGTATATTTTATAATGATCTACCAATATAATTGTTATTTTTTAAAATTATATTATGTAATGACGCAAATGTAAATGACCTATTTTCTAGCTTGGATAATCAAATTTGTTTTGATACAACTAACACATGTATAAAACATAATTTAATTTATTGCCATTTTATATCAAACTCAAAAAAACCCACTACCTATATACGCATATATGCTATATAGTGATTACTTTTTTTTTGCTTTTTACATTAGTATAATTATAATATTATGGTCTCTATATAATATATACAGATATTTTATTGGAAAATTGGAGTACATAGTATAATGGCTGTTCTAAAATATTTTTTTGTGATGTACGTTATTATACGTATTATACCTATATATAGGTCTAGTAGGCCTAGTAGGGGTAAGTAGGATTTTCATATACATGCGTTGAAGTATTTCATAATATTAACATTATTATTTTCGTAGTTGATTGTTGGAACATTTAAAAATTATATCGGAATAAAATATATAATAAAATATGTATTATCTATTTATACATAATAATATCCTAAAAAGGTATAAGTACCTTATTTCTAATAAATTATTGGTCGACTTAAATTGTTCAAAGACATATATTCAACGAAACCAAATAAGAAAATTAAATAAACAACAAAAGACAAATATTTACGATTTACTAAAATAGGTCTTTTTATAATTTTTTGACATGTAAATTTTTTTGATGTCGATTATAGTGACTAGTATTTTTTTAAAGGCAAAAAGTTTAGTTTTTACCCCACTGACCGAAGTACCGAATTGGTTCCTACAAAGGGTGAGCTGAATTGGTGCTTGTTTCTGTTCAGTTCTGACTTCTGTTACCAAAGTACCAAACTATTACAGGGTGTGCTATAAAATAGGGATTTTAAAAAGAAAAGCAACTCGATCGAATTAAATTTGTATTGTATTTACTATTTATAAGATTCCATAACAAATGCAGTTTATGTATATGGAACTCAACATCATCCATATGGTGGCCATCTACATGTATACCCTTGGTAAGGCATTTTCTAAAGTTTTAGAATACTCGAGCAGTCATCTCATGTGGAATATTACATTGACTGATTGTTGGTTTTAAACTTTTAAAAATATTTCACTACTGCGAACGCACGGTGTGCTGGATAAGGCCGCTCTTAAAAATATTTCTCAACATAAATTATTTTAAGCCCTATACCATAGATTCTGAATCCATGATTTAAATAATTGAGTGTTCATGTAATGTATATCATCTAAAGCGGTGATGGTGGGTTAGGGGGGCCCCCTAATCATTGCCTTGCCGTGTACCTAGTAAGTATAGACAATAGGTGGACAGGTTATCATCCAGGTTATGATGAAAGCTGAAACTGCATTTGTTGGCCCATCTCTCTATACCTCCATCCATCGACGAGCAACACCTGATTCAACTCCATTATTTTTTTATGACGCACCCTGTACTAATAATTAATAAAAGTAGTTCAAATTTTCAATTTTAAGCAATTCTTTATGATATAAAATCATGTACTTCAAATAATTTATGACGGACTACGTTAATGCCATTAACTTAATGGGCAACTAACACGATTAAAGTATTTGAAGAAAGTTGCCTGCAAAGCTTAATGCAATCTTATATTTAAAATTTAGCTTATTAATTGATATTTTAATTTTAATTAATTATTATTACTTCTAAGTTGACAATTCTAAGTTTATATACATTGGAAGGAAAATGTGCATACTAGGCCATCCTACTGCGAAAAGTGGAAACCTACTCGACCTGCTAGTAGAATACCTCACAAATTTAAACTGGAACCTATTTAGCTACAGCGAAGTATTCCTGTGAGTGTACAGATGCAGAATACCATTCCAATACAGTTACGTAACTATTTCCGAAATTGTCGTTATACTGCAGGCCAGGGGCGGATTGGCCTATCGGGAAATCGGGAATCTTCCCGATGGGCCGGTTCTTGTGAGGGCCTGCAGGGCCGCTATAATTATTACAATATAATTACAAAAAAAATTAATTTTTTATAAATTAAGCATAAAATATATTAAAAATCAAATACCTACGAAGGTATTATTTTCAATATCTTAAACTATTGCAATTCATAGTAAGAATTTTGGTATTTACACTATTATCCCTCCAATTCATGCTAATGTATTATTTAAAAATCTGTGATATTGGTATTTTAGTATTTATATTTTATACTCTATAGTAGAATTTAGTTACGTGATAACATTAATAACCTTATCTTATCATTATTTGTATTTTTTTTTTATTTTGAACTTTTTACACAAACGAGTTACTGTACTTACAGAATTGTGTTTAGTATACAAATTCAATTGAACTTTGTGATTTAAATTATGTGTGATGCTGGTGAAAAACGAAAGAAGGGTGGAGCTGAAAAGGTACGAGAAAAAAAAGAAAAAACGGTTAATGGAACCTATTTACCTTTAAAATTGTTTTAAATTTTTAATTATAAGCTATAGCTATAGCATGCTATAGCTATACATGTTGAACATTTTATAAATTTTTAACAACAAAATAATTATTAAATTTTGATAAATCTTGTCAAAATTCGAGCTTTAATTGCTCATAAAAAAAAATGTATGGCTATGTATATTTAATATTTTTCAACTGATATTGTAACAATATATCAGGAGCCTTGTATTCAATTTTCAGGCTTTTTGGCCCAACAAATACAATTTTATTGGTATTTATAGAAAAAAAAACTAAAAAAATTAAAATTTGAAATGGTCCGTTAAAACATCAAAAAGAGATAATTATTTTCAAAATTGTATGGTGTATACAAAATGCTAATATAAATATTCAGTGAAATTTTCAAGTATCTACATTTTACAGTCATTCGTTTTTAATCACAACAAAATAAGAAAATCATTACATGAAAAATCGAGTGAATATCAAATGTTGTAAAAATTTGAATTTCAGAAGGTCATAAAAATATAATTTGACTTTCTTGTTGACATTTTTTTTTTGATAAAGGTATGATATATTATATACTTATGAGGAATTTTGTATTAAAAATGTGTTTTAAAATTTGTTTTAAAATTTATAACTCAAAATAATTTGCAAACTTTCGTCATTTTTACGTATTTTGTCAATATTTGAACTTTAAATGCTTATAGAAAAAAATTGTGACTGGATTTTTAATTTTTTTCATCTGCCTTTGAAACAATATACTAGGAGCTTTTTATTACATTTTCAAGCTTTTTAACCAACAAATAAAATTTTATTGATATTTGTAGAAAAAAAAAGTGAAAATGTCCGTAAACAGCTCAAAGTAAGTCAAAATGTTATGGTGTATAGAAAATACTAATATAAATATTCGGTCAAAATTTCGTGTACCTATATAATCATATTTATTTTGGAGTTGCTTCAAAAACCAAAATCGATTTTCTCGAAAACAGATTTTGCGTAAAAATTCCCCGATTTACTTAATTTTTCTTTTGTTTTTCTCGGCACTTTTGAAAACCACCAGGACATTTTTATTTTTGACCCCCCAAAGTACCAACTAGATTAACTTTCCTATCAGAAAAGTGAATCAAGTTGAAGAAAATCTAAGTATTTACTAATTTCACTGTCCTAAAATTTGATGACAGACGCAAAAATAAAAAATTTAATTAAAATTAAAAAATTAAAAAAAAACAAATCATTGTAAAATCAATACATTCATCACTTCGCTCAGAATCTAAAATGTAATAAGATCAAACTTCAAGTTCGAGTTAGAACAGTCTGAACAGGTTAACCTTATCTGACTAACCCTAAACTGTTATAACTTTAAATATGGGTACCTATTATATATTTTACTAATTTATGGGTGAAACTAAACAAATTTTTAAATGTGAGTAAAATGATAGGAAATAGGAAATTATCTTAAATACCTGTTGTTCGTTGTAATCTAGCTGTTCCTCGGTGGGGTGGTGTGGTTGTTCTGAGTAATGTCCATCCTTGGCCAGCCAATACGCTGTACGGCCACTATGTATAACAATGACAAATAACGCCAAAATCAGCAGTCCGTACAGCAAACGACGGATCTGCCGACCCGTCATATTTTCTACTATTTTCTTAAATAATCGACAATTTTCTGAAACATTGCATTTTATTGTGTTATAATATATTTAATATGCATGGAATATATTATTATCCTATTCGCAGACGAAAAAACGATAAAATCTATTTTTTAGTTATAATATATTATTTTATACCTAAGACGTGTCTACGTAAGTATTTACAAATATTTTTTATCTTATAAACAGATTACACGTTCGCAGTCATTTGATGTATAAAATGTGTTAGGCTATTTATTTTTAAAACGAAAAATAATCAGCATCTTTAAAGTGGTATATTCTTAACGCATATATAATATAGTTCACATTGCAGTTTAAACTTTAATTTTTAAAGTTTCACTAATATTTAAAATGTTTAAAGGTACCTATTGTTCAGTGTTCAACTGTGTAATATATATCATTAAATTCAGTATTTGTGTCACTTAAATTGTTTTTGAAAGTAGTCAATGGAGTATAGAATTTTGAAGTGGATACTCCCACTTGTTTATGTTGGGAAAGACAATACACTGTAATGAGTAATGCCTAATGAGAAGGTATTTGTTAAATAAAATAGTTACTAAATTTCACCAGAAAAAATTTATTTTCGAATTTTTTTCAGTATGGTAATGTTCACTTATTACGCTTTGTTTATAGTTTTTTTTTTAAATATACAATGGCATTACGCCAATTCAGCTTACGAATAGTGCTTGGAAAATATCACTCTCACTAGAAGACTATAATAATTTGTTTTACATAACTATACATAGCTCATCAATCCATACAAAAATAATGTATCTATAATTATAATTTATAATGTATATTCTAGGTCAAAATAATATAAGGGAATAACATTTATCTTTTTATAAATATACATTATAAATAAACTCATAAAAAACCACAAAGTTGCATAAAACTGTATCAATGACCGAGAAATTGGGAACGATTATTGTCGCTGTTGAATTCATATTGCAATGTATAAAGCACATTTATTATAAAAAATAGGGAATGATATTTTTTATCAAACGTTTGAAGGTTATGTATTATGAGCGATACTAACTTATCTAAAAATGTAAATATATAGAATTAAATCAATATATTTATTTACGGTAGGTAGTCGGTAGTTTATAATTATTCTCATAAAATATCTAAAAGATATTTTACTAAAGATTTATCATTAATCAAGACTCGAAATTTAAAGAAAAAATGATTATACAATATGAATACATGTAAGTACAAATACCACACTATAATATAGAAAAAGAATATATGAAAAAGTATGAACAACAAGTTGTAAGAAAATAACAGTTGTATATACCTAACTCAGCACTTGTTGCAACAATATTGTAGTTATAGCATAGAGTAAATATTGAATACATTAAAAGGTATCAATAAATATAAATACAAATTTTCTCAGTATAACATGACTCATCTAACATTGTAACTGTAATCAAAAGAGTGATAAACTGATAAGTTATGATCGCTAATAATATCGATAATAATATTAGATGATTTATTAATCAAAGCATTTAATATAGAATTAAAAATGGTTAAATTGGTTTACTGTAAATTTAAAAATAATTTTTATATTTAGTCTATGTATATTGTATAAGTATGTAATTTATGCATATGTAATTATTTAGTGTATGTGATATATTATGAATGTAAGCATAATTTAAAGTTAAATTGAATAAAAAAACTAAGAAATACCTCACCGACCATTTTTTATTTAAAATAATCCAATCTATTTTGTATAATCTTTACCCTTATTAACTCAATTCTGGGGGGGGGGGGTATTGATATTTGAATTATGGTTATGTGTCATTATTTGTACTGTCAAACATTAAAATTTAAAAGTGAGAAACGCGGACACTTTGTAGTGTTTGTATATAGGTACCTACATAAATACCAAAAGAATAATATAATATAATATGTGCAAGATATACTCAACATTGTATTAAAAATGTTTAAATACCATTTGGAATATCTAATTTGGTAATCCAATTATAATTTATAAATATGCAATAGCACTAAGTCATGTTTGGTTGTAACCTGTAGAATGTAGGTACATTTCACCTCAGGTCAAAATCAGAATTTAAATTAATGCATTAATTCTGTAATTCTGTCTTTATTGATGCCTTCCACTTTCCAGAATTTCTTTATAACAGTCTATAAGAATCATATTGTGTACAGAGAAATGAGAATAATTTAAATTATTTGATAAACGGAATACTGGTATGGTCTTCAATTTTCAAGGTTTCCTAAATTTTTATGAAAAAAAAAGAATAAAATATAAACGATTATTTAAAATTTTTGTTTACCGATAACTGATAGGAAGCCGTGAGTGGATATAGGCGAGTGAAAATAATCGCTATGATTTACGATTAAATACATCCTAATATGAAATAATTACTGAATAATAAGATACAATAAATATCTATTAATCAATAAATGTTATGAACTCACCTGTACAGGTTCTGGCCAGTACCTTCACCACTCGCAATAGTAGATTTAGTATGTACAGTTTTTTACTTAAAATTACGAAAATTATACCTAATAAGTGTCATATAATGGACAATTTTGAAAGTCAATAGGCAGTATGTAAGAAATATTCCAATGTGATGTTGATAAAGAATGATAATTCTATAAGGTGGAAATGCACACAAAACACATATTTAAAATGCCCGGGAAAAGTAACAACTAATTTTATCAAATCGGTAAGTTATAATATTATTTTGTTATAATATATTTTCATTTAATATGTATTTACGGAACTAACTTAAATTCCAGTGCATAAATTATTCAAATGACACTCCACATAACCACACGATTAAAACACAATTGAGGAGATAACTGTTGTTAAAAAAAGTATAAAGTAAAAATCTTTAGGAACACGAGAAACCAAAAGTCAAAATATATGTTTGTCTATCGTGCCCAATATTCCAAGTTAGACAATAATTATTTTATTATTTAAAAATATATCGAAAGCTCGTCGTACGTTTATGATTGTAAGTGTACAGCTGACAAAGCTGTAGCAGTTGGACGTTTTTCTTCATTAAAACTAAAACGAAATATTCGAAATTACCTACATAGATATCTACCTAAAGAACCAATACATCCCGATTTCAATAACCCTTCATAATATTTGACAGTAAAAAACTTGATTCAAGAATTTTGATATTTCATCTGACTTTACCATAAATATTCTATAAATATAGAAAAAAAAATATATATATTATATATATTTTTTAGAATATATATTCTATATTTTTTTTTTATCTTGGTTCATGGATGGTACATTCAAGTGTTGATCAAATATTTGTCAACAACTTTACTGGATATGAGGAGAATATACAAATAAAGTATCTACTTATATGTACTCATTTTTATCAAATAAGTCAAAAAAATTGTTCAACAATTAAGTATAATATGTACCTATTATTCAGAACTACACTACGTTATAGTGGGAAGTGTGGGATTTCGATATTTTCTGCGCACTTATGGAATGTTTAATGTACACTAAAACACTTTAAATAACGGCATCAGAACAAATCATTTTTGTGAAGGGTGGAATAGCTATAAACTTGTAGGAACAAATAATCCATCATTTTTGTTGGTAATTAAGTGTATCCAACAAGATGAAGCGACAACGCGGATTGAAAGAACCAGTTTTGAATCAAATACAGGTATACACGTACAGATAAAAACTTTTTGGTAACACCAAAAAGTTCTAAAAAATAATAAATACCTACTTTGCAAGAAAAACTATACAACGAATGTGAGAGCCACTTAAATAAAGAATATAAAATAGGGACATTTTAAAATAATATAGCAAAATGTATGAAATATTTATTATTGTTCATAAATTATATATTTTTATTTTACCTACCTTTTACTTTTTATGTATTTGTATTTTATGTTCATTTTGATTTCTTTTATTATTTTTTTGTTTTTAACATATTATTTATTTTTGAATAGTTGACAAACTTATTAAAACTATGTAAACATTGGAAATATTTTAGGACTCCTGAAAATTACATTTTAAAGAGTACGAGTATTCCGAGTTTTTTTATTTTTTTTTGTCATTAATACTATGTACCGTACCATTATTTCGACAGTCCAATTATTTATCATCGGAATAAAAAAATTAAAAAGAGCATATTATGCAGTCTATCTCTCAAACATTCCGTATATTTAAATTCAAACAGGTTAATTATATATTATATACTAGCTGACCCCGTGCACTTCGCTGCCCTTAAAAAATGATAACCCTTTCAAATCCTTTTGGATGTAACTCGCAGCAGTAAATGCAATTCAGCCACCCTGGTAGGCAATCCGACTACGTCGGATCGCAGAAAATGTGAGACAGCATATCAAGTAGATATGTATATCTAATATATAAAAAATGTCGTGTCACAGTGTTTGTTATTGAACTCCTCCAAAACGGCTTGACCGAAACTAAAATATAATGTACCAATTATTATTTATGTTTATTATAAATTACAATGACATATATATATATAATATATATAATAATAATTATTATTATTTACATTGGTATATTATGTATGTACAAGCTGATCCCGTGCACTTCTTTTCCAATATGTACCAACTTTATATGACTTAAACTTTGTTCAATTCGTTATTTAATATTCGGTGTATGGTGTTCAAAATTTATCTTAACTTTTCTGTTGCCTGGGATAAAAATTCTGATTCTCAGCAGTATATTATCAGGTAGGCAATCTACCTGCGGTTATATTAACTTATATGTGAGTATAATACGCTCAATATTTACGTAATTGCAATACATATAATATCAAGACACAGCGTAAAAAAAATTTAAATGCATTGAATGAATACACTGATTTTATGGCAACCAATAATTATTATTATAATAGTTTTAAGACCCATGAAAACCATTTATAAACAAAAATGTCCACCGTAAATCTCTAAATTCCCGCGCGTTTGAGTACATCCCCTGCAGGTTGGACCTAGGGGGATGATTTGTGAATCTAAATTATCCGGGAAGTCACCCAAACGCATACAAAAAAATATATTTAAATCGGTCCAACCGTTTAGGAGGAGTTCAGTCACAACACATGTACAGTAGAATTATATATATAAAGATAATGTATAAATATTTATATTTTGTTATGTAATAATTATAATAATAATATGTATATATTACAAATCTTTTTTATTAAATATAGTATAAGTATTATCAAGTATGATAGGGAAATCGAAATAAACATTTACCAGACTTAATGAAATACTTCAAGCAAATGAATATGTACTCGTCTGCATTTGTTCTACGACAAAAATTGGCACTATGGCATCTTGCTGGCATTTTTTAATGACACAAACAAAAAGAAATTATTCAAATTAAAAAAAAATAATATGGGTTGCTATGGGTAATGGGTTACCTATAGGATTTGAGAATAATATTATTTATTATATTATATTCCATATTATTTAATTTGAATATTTTCTATTTGTTTGTGTCTATAGCAACCATTAATAAACAAAAATTTCTATCGTTAATCTCAAAATTCAAAACCTTTTTAAATGAGCCTAAAACGTATTATCATACCTACCAAGTATACACAAACAGTTTGATCAAAATTGGTCTAGCCGTTTCGGAAGATTTCAATCACTAACACTGTGACACTACAATTTTATATATTATTATGCTATTATAGGTAGGTACCTACCTATTTTAATTCTAATTTAAATAGTGTTTAAATAGTGACAACAGACACACAGTAAAGATAATATATATTATATATAATTTATATTATAACAAAAAAAAAAGGTTTTTTGGTCTTTGACCTCCACGTCACAATTATTTCAACCATTGTTTATAAAGTCAACGCGGTATAATAACACTTTACACGTAAGAGCTGTCAATAAATTATAATTTATTTTCATTTTTTGGTTTATGATTTTTATATTAAAATAAAAGTTTAAGTAAACATTAAAATCAATAATTATAGTTAATTATTATTTGAATATTCTATATTGTATTTAATGACAGTTCTCGACATTATTTTAATAAGGTTAAGTACTTAAGTGCACATAGAAATTGTTTAAATAAAAATATTGTAAATATTTACAGAACACGTTTGAAATTCATGAAATAATACAATCTATCGTTGTTATTCGTAAATTGTAAATTGTAATATAATTTACGTAGGTACTCCCATTATACTAGATACCTACCTATAATTATAATTACTTGGCGAACACATGTAGTACAGTGATGTAAACACAATATATTTTCGGTGTAGTATTAAATGTAATTATATAAATTACATTATTATAATATACAGTATGTACGGTCAATTAACTATAAAATATTTATTATTTATTCAAATTAAAAAATAATATAAAATGGTCGTTTTCAAAACTAAACCAGTAAAACAAACTATATAATAATGAGTGAAATTCGTTCAACATAATATATTATGAATGAATGACAAACATGTGTAGTATGTACCTATACTGGCTATTATTATATTAAAAACTCGGTCCGTGGTCATTTAAACATAAATACTAATCTGTAGAAGTGAACAACCAGCTCGTAAACTCGAGTGAATGTAAAAAAATAAATAATAATAATGATATGAATGGCATGCCGACCAGTTGCTCTTAAAAGTATAGTGTATGCTTGAAGTGTTTTTGCTATCGATTCCCTAATCGGGTGGCACGATATAACAACAAATAACAGTGATATTTCTCATATACAACCATATTATAATTTATAAGAGTATTGTATTTATGTGGTACCTAGTGGTGAGAAATTATGAAGTACTAATAATTTACAAAAAAGAAAATAAGGGTCGTCGTGTTTGAGGGACCTGTGCAATATAATTTATTATAATATTATGTTGAAGTGTCGTGTAACTATATTGGAACTGTACCTATGTATAATAATATTTCGCGTGAAATACTTATAATAATATTAACATGATAATAATTATTAGGGCGTGGACTTTAATGTAATAAAAAAGTCATAATATGTAAATATTTATGTTGTTATTTTTGCCAGAATATGTATTAAAAAACATGAAATATTTAACAAAAAAGTTTTTATTCAACATTCATTTTTAAAATTAAAATTAATAATTATACAAAAAAAGAGAAGTAGATATTTATTGAATAGAAAAACAAACCAATGAACGAGAGCAAATATACTTGAGTACTATATTGGTACTCACTTATACCAGTTAGGTTACCTAGCCGATATCGTCGATACCGATATATATGGTCATCTCAGAAATTGTTTTTTGCATATCTTCTCTAATTTATGAAAACATTCTCTGTTAAGATTTTCCACGAAATTATGATTATGTCCAATAAATATTTAATAAAATATTCAAGAACATTAATTTACTTCAAAATAATGTACCTGATCATTTTTAGTCAGAACTAATAAAATCATTTCATTCAATAAAATTACGAATTTGAATAAAAATCCGGGCCTAAATTAATAATAATAAAGCGGCAAGAGTACGACGTTTTATAATTGTTGGGGTCCTCAAATGTATAACCGTGTTACTGGTTTATTGCGGGTAGGCGAACATAGTCTGCATGACATAGTTTCGACGGCATAATTATTATCAATAAACAAGAATTCTCATCCCCATTTTTTCATTGAATAATGAATTTATTCAGACTTTTATTTTTGGAGTTTTTAAATTAAACAATGAACTTTTCAAATTCTCGAGATTTTTGGTACTATTTAATGACTTTTGGAGAAACAAACTTAAGCTTTTCAAATGAGAACCCACTCTTTTACTGTGAATCATTTAGTGAATGATTTTTTTTAAAAATATGTACTTACCTAATTCAAAATCTGAACGAGTTTAATAACTTTCAGTTATTAAAACGTTTATACTAAGCATAGTGATAGTATACTAGGATTTTTAATATCTCCGCATAGAACAATATTGACATAGACCTATATATCCTTAGTAGATATACAAAGTTAAATAACTCAAAAACTATTCGTATGAATAACAATTTTTAGAAATATTATCCGCTGAATAATTTATTGTATAAAAGGTGGGTAATTATTTGAAAAACTGAACTTTGTATCTCCATAGGACACTCCTTGAGTAGTACCTACAAACAATCTCAATAATTTGAAAATATATGGTCTGTACTCTTTGGGTATTACATTGTATATTCAAAAGTCAGATTTTGAATAGCTTTATTTATTTGAAGAAGAAAATGGGGGGGAGGGTGGTAAGCATGGTTGGTGAATCAGTCTGTGTACTAAACGCTCAGGCACCATCATCTCTACACGCGAAAATAAATACCTCGACAAATTCTCCAGATTATCCGTTTTTTAAAAATTTTTCTCATCTCGTCCGAGCAGTCCGCATAAAAGTCGTCGACGGACGGTACCGCACAAACGTATTGTTATTAGTATCGTACGGCGAAATAGTCAAACCGTGTCCGAGATTAGCGTCCGCCCGGAAATTCATGGCCACGAAGAGTCGTGCAAATGCCACCGCCGGTTGGCGTGGCTGTCTGTGGCGGCGGTGGTGATGCTGTCCGCCGTCGCTGGTGCTGGAACCGACGCGCGGTCGTCCCCGTGAACGTCTTCGCCGTGGCCGTGCGCCGCGCTGCGCTGTGCGTGTGCGTGTGCTGTGCTGTGCGGCGGCGGCGGTGCACGACGACGCCGACCCGCGCGCGCACGCACGCGAGCGACAGCGTCAGCGGTGGGAAGAAAGTTTCGCGCGCGCAGGGACGACGACGGCGGTGGATAACGCGCGGGCGCCACTCGTCCAGGGCAAAATCTATAAGGGCCTCTACACCTCCACCGCCATCATCCACTCCGCAGAACACTGCCCCCGCGGAACTCTACCACCACGCTCAAATCCGTCACCCTAAGCAGCGGTTTCCAGCCGGCGGCCGACCCATGCGCAGTGCACCCCACTCCGACTGGACAAAAACGAGTCGAAAATGATAGTTGCCGCTAAACTCGCGATTCCACAGCGCGCCGCCGCCGTTTCAACGATATTATTTTATTTCTCTATATTTATCGCGTATTGTATGTATACATATGACGTCATACACGTGAACTGTACGGCGGCGTTCGATTTACAATAAAACTCATTTGCCCGCCAGTTACCGTAGGCCACACGCCGTTTTCGCGCGATCCGCATACAATAATTAATATTTTATTGTATACGATAATATATGTAGGGAAATCGAAAATAATAATTATATTTATTTTGATTTTAAACACCGTGTAAGGCCCAAGCCAGCAGACGGGACCCTATAAGCGTCGACGCTTATACCTACGTTTTGTTTTTTGTGAACACAGATGATACGCAGCTAGTGAATAATTTATATTTATTTGATTAATACATGTAAAAAAAAAAAAATAGGTACTTCACTGGCATACGCACCCATAAGTACAATGATGTTACAACCTGTTAATAATAATAATATATTTTATACCTTTAATAAAGTAATTACAATTTATAAGTGGGTCGATCGCTCGATGACGAAACCGTACAACAACAATACTTCAGAAATATAAATTATCTACCAACTATAAATATTTTTTAAACCATCTTAGTGTCTTATTAGTTATTGTTTTTCAGGTTTAAAATACTTGCAGTACCTAGGTAGTTTTAATATATTGTAAGCACTAATTGAATAAACACTCGGAAGTATTATATAGATACTATATTATTTTAATTAAATACCTACTAAAGTAGCGTATTATTTATTAAAACATTTTTTTATTACTTTACGTATTAAGATAGTTTTACAATCTGTACCTCTGCTGCTTTATAACAAAACAAAACATTAGATAAATTAGAATAAAAAACATATGAATTTAAACAGAAATGGAGAAAAAATAGATGAACACAAGAGGTAGTAAATAGTTACAATCATATTAAATAATTTACATTTTTTTATTATTAAGGCTTCCAAAATAAAGTCAATAGCCGAGAAACAATTTACGTTTTATATTTTATGTTGAATGTATTTGTTATGATTGTTTATTCAATGATGTGTGTGCTTTTTTTTTGTTTTTATTTTTTATTTGTCATAAGTTAAAAATTAGAATGCTCAGATTTTCGACATCAGCATCACTTCTGAGTTTGAATCTAGTTGGTGCATTCGGGAATCAAAATTGAAAATTGGTAGATTATGAAGCGTCGGGAAAAACAAAAAAAAATAAATGAAGGAAAAAAGAGGAATTTTTTACCCAAAACCAATTTTTGAAAAAATCTATTTTATTTTTTTGGTGTTTGTAACTCAAAATCTAAAAACCGCAGACACTTAGGGCCGTTCTTACGACGTCCGGTTAAAGTTAACCGACACTTAACCGGAAGAATTCTGCCGGTAATAAAATCTGTTATCAGTCGGTTAGCGTTAACCGACACTTTACCGGACATTGTAAGAACGGCCCTTAGAATTTTTAACAAATATTTATATCAGCATTTTCTATGTATGGCAACATTTTAACTACTTTTGAGCTATTTATATAATTATATCCTTGAGAAATTATTCAAATTTTGTACTTATTTTTTTTTTAATTTATTAGTTATTAGTGACTTATTACTTATTAATGTCCAAAAAAATTTTTCACTTGGTAAAAACTAAAAAGGTTTAAAAATATAATGCAAAGTTCATGATAAGTTGCTTTAATAGCAGTTAAAAATTATTTAAGATACATAAGCTTCCAAAAAAAGTATTATCTACCTTTAAAATAAACAATGGTCGCTTTGGTACTCGTGAGGCTCTTATAATATATTTAATTTTTATTTACCGTAGAAGTGTTATACTTGGAGCAGGTTTCTTACTTGGAGCAGAATTGTTTAGAATAATTAGTATTAGAAGTGGCGCCGGAGTGTTAAAAATATCTATGACATGGTATATAACCCCCCCCCCCCTGCCCCATCACCCTCCCAATCAAAATTAAACAATTAGCTGCAAATCAAAGCTGCACTCACATAATGCAATATAATAATAATAATAATAATAATAATCATAAAATATAAATCAAAATATATAATCATTAATCATTTATTTTTGTTTTTAGCTGAACAAATATTTAAATAAATTTTTGATTCTGAGGGGAGCGATGAATGTATAGGTTTTACAATGAAGTGTAGTATTATTTTAAACATTTTTTTTTGTCTGTGTACATTTTATTTAAATTTTAAATTGTATTAATTACAAACACACCAGGTACAATTAAGTTAATTATTTAAATTCCAAAAAAAAAAAATCATATAGATATTAATTCTGAGGTTTTGTTAGTCTCCTGTTCACGTGATTCATGTTTGTTTATACTGTTCTATGTTATCTTTATTACTCCTTATCCTTATTGTTTTTATTTTGTAAGTAGATTGAATATATCTAAATAAAAAAAAAGGTATTAATAATAAACAAAGAATAACAATTTTAGTTATTTTGTTGTAAATTATTTATAAATACCGTTCATACTGTAGCTAAAAAATCTATAAAATATAACCTATAATGTTAAATAGCAGTAGCTATTTATTAATTATTCATACATCGTATTTATTTATCTTTATAGCTAAAATTCTGGATCCACAGCCATATCTCAGTCCCACCCCTTAATCTACAAAATTACTATGACATCTCTTATAGATAAATTAGGTTATCGGTGCCACTGAGTGTTAGCAGAACAGTTTTAATAAATTAATTTGTTACATTTTTCATTTTATGCTCAATATTTGGAATACTATCATGAGTACGTTTTATCGATATCTCAAGTTAAGTTATTTATTTTTAATAACTAAAAAAGTAGTATGTTAACATATGTGATACGATTTAGAAACTTGAATAACTGTGATATAAATACTCATTTATCACTAAATGTTATTGGTACTTTTCAGTTATCCCGATTACTATCCCCGATATTATACCAGCCAGAGTTTAGACTTTTTATAGTTTCCAGTCTTTTCAATTCATAATGTACTTAAGTACTATATTTGTATAATGTTTATTATCAGTTATCACCACTACAGTTTGGCCGAGCTCAATAAAAGTACTACTGTCAAATTTATTTTCAGAAGGTACCACCCACCAAACATATTGCAACCAAACCAGTGAGGGCTAATGTCCACTAATGCACCCACTTCCACAGACACTCAAAAGTTTATATTTTATTTAACATATGGCGATTTACAAAATAAATTAGTTAAAATTGAAGAACCAAGATTCTATGACTTCACTTTTAATAGTTTTTCAAAACAAAACAATATATTGATACAGATTATAATTTATGAGTAAACTATTAGTATATAAAACAATATTTTATCAAATAACATTTTGTTTTAATAAAGATCATTGTATTTCTTTAATCTAGTATACAAGGGATTTTGAAAGACATTAACTAAAGGTAGAAAGTGTTTGTAAGACATTTTCTTTGTCAACTGGAATGTCTCGTTCACAATTAATTATCATCAAATGTTCTAATCTGGACTCCAACATAGTAAATCTTAATTTAGTTTTTAGAAGTTTAAGCTTCGAAAAACTTCTTTCAACGCTGCAGTAGTTACTAACTGACAAAGTCGCATATTTTGAGTAGCATATATTATAATGTAAGAAATACTGCATTTAAATTAGCTGAACAAAACAGCTGAAATAATTCAAGAAGCGTTGCCATATTTCTTGGTTTACTCGATACATCTTGACTAATATTATCTGTGTCTTCAAATTCATCTTCCAAGTTCAAATCTATTTGGAAAAATTCATCGTCATTATATTCATTACATAAACCTCGTACTTTCAATTTGTTCATAGTGTCTAACAAATTGTTGATACTCTTCTATCAAAAGAGCACGATCCAGGTAATTCTTATATACAGAACAAACTTCAACAAAAGCATCATTTGGAATAAGATTTAGATTTTTACCAACTTCTCTCAATCTTTTTGACGACAGCAAATATATATCCATAGCTCTGATAGGATAGCATCACACACAACATAGTAAGTATTAACTTTAAAATTATCCAAAGGTTTATCAAGTGCTTCATCAATACACTTTTCACCTGCATTCCTTGGTACACGTTTATTTCTTGGTGCTTAAAAATGTTCAAATTCTATACTTCTATTCTGAGCAAAATCATCAGCAGCGCGTTTTATTTCAGTGACACCTCTACTTCTAAGATTTTCTGTATCTAATTTGGCATTTTTTATCAATTGAGTCGCAATAAGTATGGCAGAGTCATGACGTGCTTGCATGCGCAACTTATCACATAAATTATCATAACAGTGTAGAGTACAGAGTTATAGGGTTGTGACTTTTGTGCTGGCTTGGTGCTTGTAGGTTAGTGTACTCCACAGGGTGTATGAACAAATATGACCC